TTGTTGTCCTATGCTACCCGGCTAAAATGCTTGCTCGCTAGCCAAACTTCCTTTAATGGGCAATGTTAGCTAGTTAACATTAGCCTTCTACATCTAGCTAAATATTGAACTTCCATCCTCTCAGGCCAGGGGCACAATGTATGCCTTATGGTTGGATCAGAATCGCCATCATTGGCCAGTATGGAGAATTAAGTAAAACCACAACTCCAAATCCCTATCTCCATCCATGGCTAATTTAGGAAAGGGCCAATTTTAGCTAGCTAGCTAGCCACCGGAGGACAACAACACAAGATTTAACAATTCAAGTTGTTTCTGTCTATGACGTATTGCTCTCGTGATGTGATTGGAGTGAAGCCAAATCCAAACTGGATTCCCTTGACACTTTTTTTTGGTGTGCCAGGACCATTCACAGTTGAGCTCACGCAGTTTAGCTCAACGCTGATTGGCTATTATTTTATACTTTTTTATCAAGGGAGGCCAAATGCTCGCTGGCTTCCGTTGCATTCAACGCTACAGGTGGCAACAATGTCATACTATTTTTGACCAGACAGCATCAGATAGATGGCCTACACATACAGAGACAGAGGGGCACTGTTTCGCTCGCTCGGATGCTTTCTCCGGTGAGATACATTCTGCCTTGCGAATTGAAGGAAAATTATGAAACACTGAGAGACGCATAGTCAATTATTGTATGTTTTTTTTCTTATTTTCTTGGTCAATATTTTGGGGAAGCCTGGCTTCCCTTGGCATCCATGAATGCACGCCACTGGTGCTTTCCTCAGTCAGAGTCAGAGGACTTAACCCAGCCTATATTCACTGTCAGTCTCTTCCATACACCTTACAGATTGGCAGGTAGTTAGAGCAGTGTTTCAGGGTTTGATAGACGGAATGTAGTGAGGGTATATGAGGCTATGACAGACACAACTCTGTCACAGTCTATCAGTGAAGCACTCAACCAAGCCCTCCTCTCTAGAGCAGAGCCTCGAGGCCAGGGGAGAGGCAGGTGAAGTCTGGGAGATATGACGAACATTGTCAACAAACTAGGCCAGTAGCACTGCTGCAGTGTCACATCCTCCCCACTCATTTAATGGATTCCATTTTTCATTCAACCTTTATTCATACAGATTCATTGAGATAACATCTGTTCAACTCACCAGAGAGATTTTTTTTCTCTTCCTAATGGTTAGTGAGCTGACAGACAACAAGCATTTCTCTGAGTGTCCTTCCTCTAAAGCACAAAGCACTTTCCTTTCTTTCATCTCTATAAGAGTCACTGAGAGAGAGAGAGAGAGAGAGAGAGAGAGAGAGAGAGAGAGAGAGAGAGAGAGAGAGAGAGAGAGAGAGAGGAGAGAGAGAGAGGAGAGAGAGAGAGAGAGAGAGAGAGAGAGAGAGAGAGAGAATAAACACCAGGGAGGTAGAGAGAACACAGCGTTAGAATGCTCAGGGGAGTTCTGTTCTAGAATGCCCTCCAGCACTAGACAACAAGTCAGAATGCAGAATGCACAACTACTGAGCAATCAGACCACGTAGTCTGTCACTAACGTCTAGAGTAGAGGCAGGAGGATAGCACCCAAGGATTTAGCGCCTAGAAAACACTGTTTTTGACTGATTTGATTTTGTATATGTCTTTCAGCACTGGTTGGGGTTTACGAAATGTATTGCCAAACAAATGAAATGTAAGTACATGAATGCATGAGCATGTATGACTATTGAAGTATGCGTAATGATATTCAGTTCCACATTTGATTGGTTGATTGAATCGTTGGCAGTTGCTACTAGTTAGGTCACTGGAACTACTAGAAAAAGCCTCTGTTCTAACATGTGATCTCTCCCACCAGCCCAACCTCCATTCACCATGTGTTTACGTGTCAAGTTTTACCCTCCCGACCCGGCTGCCCTGAAAGAGGAAATCACAAGGTAAGAGACAAGAGACAGTCTGGCAGGCAGGATGGAGTGGGCTTATAATAGAGGAGACTAGGGTGCCAACCATGCACTGCTTTCAACTCAACTCGGAGGGAGGGAGGGAGGGAGGGAGGGAGGGAGGGAGGGAGGGAGGGAGGGAGGGAGGGTGGGAGGGAGGGAGAGAGGGAGGGAGGGAGGGAGGGAGGGAGGGAGGGAAAGCGAGAGAGCAAGAGATAGGTGGTAGGGAAAGAGAGAGTGAAAGTGAGAAAGAGAGAGAGAGATGGGAGTGCTCTGCTACCTCTTTCTCCAGTCATGGAAAAGGCAATTGCTGCATCACTGATTTCACTTCCCCACAGGAGATTACATTTGCCCATTCCCTCTACCTGTCCTATCCTGCCAGGGTTCTCAGCTTGGCTGTGGTAGTATACTGAAGAGGTTTTATTTTCAGCATTAGATTGGAAGAATTGGTTTGGTCCAAATTACATTGGATTTTTCCTACAGTGGGCAATCACTCTCTTTCATCCGATTGAAACTTCTCATTTGATGCTGAACTTTACACACATCTAGAATATCAGTGGTAGACTACAGGCATGTATGAGTGAGCACAAGCTGATTTTAGGGGTATCAAACACTACAGTGAATCATTTTGTAGGAGGATTTAGACCAGAGAACTCTTTCTTTAAGCTGCAATGTCAGGTCGCCCTGGCTGCACTATATGGTACTCTATCTCTGACAATCAAACTACTGTGTAGAGGAGGAGGAGGGAGGAAGGAGGAGGAGGGAGGAAGGAGGAGGGGGAGGAAGGAGGAGGAAAGAGGAGGAGGAGGGAGGGAGGGAGGGAGGGAGGGAGGGAGGAAGGAAGGAGGAGGAGGAGGAGGAGGAGGAGGAGGAGGAAGGCAGAACGGCTGCCGGGTTCAGAGATCCCCTCTAAATCACATCTCACCCAGTTTGTGTCCAAATGGCATCCTATTCCCTATGTAGTGCACTACCTAAGACCAGAGCCTGGTCAAAAGTAGTGCACGTTATAGGGAATAGGGTGCCATTTGGGACGCAACCTCAGTCTAGTCATCATGCAATCTAGCCCCTTTCACATTCCACTGCTTCCCAGTGTCTCATAACCCCAGTCAGAGCTAGGGAGGGAGAGAACGCTTCCCAATCCTCCACCATCTGGTGATGCTGCAAGCAGCACCTTCTGTAAAGACTAGACACACACACTCACATACACACATACACACACATAAACAAACACATACTTATGACATTTTGCTGTATGATTAATAATGGTATTTATTGCGTTGCTGCTCTGAGAGAAGATAAGCCACTGGTGTGTGAAATTATTGCTGGGTAAAATATTCTGAAATGTGTGTTTTCTTGGGATGCAGTCTGAGGCAACTTGATCCACATGAAACGTTCACATGAATTGCAAGAGCCTGAATAACAATCACATTCTCAACCAGAAGACAGAAGGAGGACTCTCCATGGACCACAGCTAAACAGATCTATAAACCCAAAACCACATCTCTTGTGTGCTGGCCAAGTAACTGTCTATCACAGAAGACTACAGCTAAACCAGTAGATCACGAGGGGCTAATTATAACTCAAATCATGACTAAATTACAGATGACATATGAAATCATAGAGATCAGAGCCAGGGTGAGAGATAATCTTCACATATCCACTCAGATCATGATAAGTGAAGTTCTATTTGAGGAGGAGGATGGTACTGCAGTGTAGGAGGTGAGGATGTGGTTAACAGAGCAGGTTCTGAATGAGACTAGACAGGGTTATGTATTAATGATGGGGAGATGGGAACTAAAAGCCTGGGGTGAGTCCAAAATGCCCCCCTATTCCCTATATAGTGGACTACTTTTGATCAGAGCCCTGGTCAAAAGTACTGCACTATTTAGGGGATAAGGTGCGATTTGGGACACAGACTGGTTTTCCATAGACTCATTAGCTAGAGGGTATATTATGTTGCACCAGGCGAAGTCAGCAGCACGCTGCAGTGAGGAGAAGATGTGAAGGCAGAGTATAGAGATGTGACTTATCTGACTTTATGTGTTCAGGTCTCAGGCAAGGTTAGGCTACTCATCACTTGAACAAGCTTGGGTCACAGAATTGCATCTCTATTGTATTACTTATTCATTTCATCTCCTAGTGGGACAAAGGGCCTATGTTGCATAGAGACACTATATTGCTTATGCTGCTAACCTGGTAAACCTGCTGAATGCTGATACACCTGCACCAAAACATCCCTGACAATGGCTCTTTTCCACTTATGTCTTAACACACCTGGACACACAGAGTTACCTGTAGACAGTTTTGTCTTTTGTGCCGTTTACTTTCCAGCAGGATTCTAACCTATTTGATATTGAATTGGGGAGGAAGCCTTCTCCACGTGAAGTTGTTTTGTCATCCTGTGTAGAACGACCCAGTACCCCCACAGGACTGTTTGTTTGACTCAAACAGGTAGAAGTGGAAAAGTTATTAAATCAACCTGCCTTATAGAAGAGTCTCATGTTGACAAATCTCTGAGGGAGAGAATTCTTCACTATCTCCTCAACCTGAGAGATAATAGGTTCCAATTAAGAGAAGGGCTAGATAAGGTGAAGTCCCCTCTGTGTTGGGCTGTGGAAGTGGCTGTGCTTCTGCTTTAGCTGGGATATGGAATGGTCTCCTGGGCCCTATAGGCTAGAGGCAGATAGGAGCAGAGACAGACTCAGAAAGAAGCACCATTATTCGCCTCAGGCCTTCCTTTACCAAACACTGTCTATCTCAAACACTCTCCTCTACAAACCCTCTCTAAACAACCAACAAACTAACAAAGAGTTAAGAGAAGAACATCGTCTGGGAATTTAAGATCAGGGCTCTCTTGGGGCGTCTGTCCGACCCACTCATCCCTTTAAATGTAGCTACAAATGGAATGAAAGAAATTAGAGAAAGGAAACAAATCGTAATCGTTTAGATTCAGTACATCTCTTTGCTTGTTTGGAGTGGACCAAAAAACACACTGTTTCTGATATTCCTTTGCAGATATCTAGTCTTCCTACAGATCAAGAGAGATCTGTACCATGGCCGTCTCCTGTGTAAGACGTCAGATGCTGCCATGTTGGCTGCCTACATACTACAAGGTAAACGGAATACAGCAACACATAATTCCTTTTGTACATTTATACCCCATGTATTTCTTGCCTAAAGGTGTTTGTTATAAGACTTAATGGAAAAATACCACTGTCACCTACTGTTGTACTTTTCATTGTGATGTGAGTGTGTGAGGTGAGGTAGTGGGGTGGAGGTATAGGTCTAGAGCTCCCACTGTAGCCTCCAGCCCTGTAGCAGCAGCCTCATTGGCATTCAGACAGCTGATTTAAGGCTCTCCTGCTCCCCTGCCACACAGAAACAAGGCCGCCATTGTCTGATTGTCTGAGCCTGGCTCTTACAGAATCTCAGGGCTGCATGAAAGAACAGCAGTAGAAGAGCCTGGTTAACCTGTAGCAAAGATATAGAAGAGAAGCTCTGCTGGCATATACCATGACTATAATACATGTGGTTTACAGTGGGGGAAAAAAGTATTTAGTCAGCCACCAATTGTGCAAGTTCTCCCACTTAAAAAGATGAGAGAGGCCTGTAATTTTCATCATAGTTACACGTCAACTATGACAGACAAAATTAGATTTTTTTTTCCAGAAAATCACATTGTAGGATTTTTAATGAATTTATTTGCAAATTATGGTGGAAAATAAGTATTTGGTCACTTACAAACAAGCAAGATTTCTGGCTCTCACAGACCTGTAACTTCTTCTTTAAGAGGCTCCTCTGTCCTCCACTCGTTACCTGTATTAATGGCACCTGTTTGAACTTGTTGTCAGTATAAAAGACACCTGTCCACAACCTCAAACAGTCACACTCCAAACTCCACTATGGCCAAGACCAAAGAGCTGTCAAAGGACACCAGAAACAAAATTGTAGACCTGCACCAGGCTGGGAAGACTGAATCTGCAATAGGTAAGCAGCTTGGTTTGAAGAAATCAACTGTGGGAGCAATTATTAGGAAATGGAAGACATACAAGACCACTGATAATCTCCCTCGATCTGGGGCTCCACGTAAGATCTCACCCCGTGGGGTCAAAATGATCACAAGAACGGTGAGCAAAAATCCCAGAACCACACGGGGGGACCTAGTGAATGACCTGCAGAGAGCTGGGACCAAAGTAACAAAGCCTACCATCAGTAACACACTACGCCGCCAGGGACTCAAATCCTGAAGTGCCAGACGTGTCCCCCTGCTTAAGCCAGTACATGTCCAGGCCCGTCTGAAGTTTGCTAGAGTGCATTTGGATGATCCAGAAGAGGATTGGGAGAATGTCATATGGTCAGATGAAACCAAAATAGAACTTTTTGGTAAAAACTCAACTCGTCGTGTTTGGAGTGCAAAGAATGCTGAGTTGCATCCAAAGAACACCATACCTACTGTGAAGCATGGGGGTGGAAACATCATGCTTTGGGGCAGTTTTTCTGCAAAGGGACCAGGACGACTGATCCGTGTAAAGGAAAGAATGAATGGGGCCATGTATCGTGAGATTTTGAGTGAAAACCTCCTTCCATCAGCAAGGGCATTGAAGATGAAACGTGGCTGGGTCTTTCAGCATGACAATGATCCCAAACACACCGCCCGGGCAACGAAGGAGTGACTTCGTAAGAAGCATTTCAAGGTCCTGGAGTGGCCTAGCCAGTCTCCAGATCTCAACCCCATAGAAAATCTTTGGAGGGAGTTGAAAGTCTGTGTTGCCCAGCGACAGCCCCAAAACATCACTGATCTAGAGGAGATCTGCATGGAGGAATGGGCCAAAATACCAGCAACAGTGTGTGAAAACCTTGTGAAGACTTACAGAAAACGTTTGACCTGTGTCATTGCCAACAAAGGGTATATAACAAAGTATTGAGAAACTTTTGTTATTGACCAAATACTTATTTTCCACCATAATTTGCAAATAAATTCATTAAAAATCCTACAATGTGATTTTCTGGAAAAAAAAATCTAATTTTGTCTGTCATAGTTGACGTGTAACTATGATGAAAATTACAGGCCTCTCTCATCTTTTTAAGTGGGAGAACTTGCACAATTGGTGGCTGAATAAATACTATTTTTCCCCACTGTAGCTACAAATGGAATGAAAGAAATGAGAGAAAGGAAACAAATCGTAATCGTTTAGGTTCAGTACATCTCTTTGCTTGTTTGGAGTGGACCAAAAAACACACTGTTTCTGATATTCCTTTGCAGATATCTAGTCTTCCTACAGATCAAGAGAGATCTGTACCATGGCCGTCTCCTGTGTAAGACGTCAGATGCTGCCATGTTGGCTGCCTACATACTACAAGGTAAACGGAATACAGCAACACATAATTCCTTTTGTACATTTATACCCCATGTATTTCTTGCCTAAAGGTGTTTGTTATAAGACTTAATGGAAAAATACCACTGTCACCTACTGTTGTACTTTTCATTGTGATGTGAGTGTGTGAGGTGAGGTAGTGGGGTGGAGGTATAGGTCTAGAGCTCCCACTGTAGCCTCCAGCCCTGTAGCAGCAGCCTCATTGGCATTCAGACAGCTGATTTAAGGCTCTCCTGCTCCCCTGCCACACAGAAACAAGGCCGCCATTGTCTGATTGTCTGAGCCTGGCTCTTACAGAATCTCAGGGCTGCATGAAAGAACAGCAGTAGAAGAGCCTGGTTAACCTGTAGCAAAGATATAGAAGAGAAGCTCTGCTGGCATATACCATGACTATAATACATGTGGTTTACAGTGGGGGAAAAAAGTATTTAGTCAGCCACCAATTGTGCAAGTTCTCCCACTTAAAAAGATGAGAGAGGCCTGTAATTTTCATCATAGGTACACATCAACTATGACAGACAAATTGAGAAAAAAAAATCCAGAAAATCACATTGTAGGATTTTTAATGAATTTATTTGCAAATTATGGTGGAAAATAAGTATTTGGTCACTTACAAACAAGCAAGATTTCTGGCTCTCACAGACCTGTAACTTCTTCTTTAAGAGGCTCCTCTGTCCTCCACTCGTTACCTGTATTAATGGCACCTGTTTGAACTTGTTGTCAGTATAAAAGACACCTGTCCACAACCTCAAACAGTCACACTCCAAACTCCACTATGGCCAAGACCAAAGAGCTGTCAAAGGACACCAGAAACAAAATTGTAGACCTGCACCAGGCTGGGAAGACTGAATCTGCAATAGGTAAGCAGCTTGGTTTGAAGAAATCAACTGTGGGAGCAATTATTAGGAAATGGAAGACATACAAGACCACTGATAATCTCCCTCGATCTGGGGCTCCACGTAAGATCTCACCCCGTGGGGTCAAAATGATCACAAGAACGGTGAGCAAAAATCCCAGAACCACACGGGGGGACCTAGTGAATGACCTGCAGAGAGCTGGGACCAAAGTAACAAAGCCTACCATCAGTAACACACTACGCCGCCAGGGACTCAAATCCTGCAGTGCCAGACGTGTCCCCCTGCTTAAGCCAGTACATGTCCAGGCCCGTCTGAAGTTTGCTAGAGTGCATTTGGATGATCCAGAAGAGGATTGGGAGAATGTCATATGGTCAGATGAAACCAAAATAGAACTTTTTGGTAAAAACTCAACTCGTCGTGTTTGGAGTGCAAAGAATGCTGAGTTGCATCCAAAGAACACCATACCTACTGTGAAGCATGGGGGTGGAAACATCATGCTTTGGGGCTGTTTTTCTGCAAAGGGACCAGGACGACTGATCCGTGTAAAGGAAATAATGAATGGGGCCATGTATCGTGAGATTTTGAGTGAAAACCTCCTTCCATCAGCAAGGGCATTGAAGATGAAACGTGGCTGGGTCTTTCAGCATGACAATGATCCCAAACACACCGCCCGGGCAACGAAGGAGTGACTTCGTAAGAAGCATTTCAAGGTCCTGGAGTGGCCTAGCCAGTCTCCAGATCTCAACCCCATAGAAAATCTTTGGAGGGAGTTGAAAGTCCGTGTTGCCCAGCGACAGCCCCAAAACATCACTGCTCTAGAGGAGATCTGCATGGAGGAATGGGCCAAAATACCAGCAACAGTGTGTGAAAACCTTGTGAAGACTTACAGAAAACGTTTGACCTGTGTCATTGCCAACAAAGGGTATATAACAAAGTATTGAGAAACTTTTGTTATTGACCAAATACTTATTTTCCACCATAATTTGCAAATTAATTAATAAAAAATCCTACAATGTGATTTTCTGGATTTTTTTTTTCTCATTTTGTCTGTTATAGTTGACGTGTACCTATGATGAAAATTACAGGCCTCTCTCATCTTTTTAAGTGGGAGAACTTGCACAATTGGTGGCTGACTAAATACTTTTTTTCCCCACTGTATGACAGCCAGGTCACTATGCTTTATGTCATATTGGTTACATAGGTCTTCCCAGTAATGTATTTGTGTGTGTGTTGCAGACATCACAGGTAAAGTTGTGTCTGTTGTCTCCTGTGTTCTCACTACTCCCCCAGCTGAGGTTGGTGACTACGATCCTGGAAAGCATCCTGAGGGCTACAGCTCTAAGTTCCAGTTCTTCCCTAAACACTCAGAGAAGCTGGAGAGACGCATCTCTGACATCCACAAGACAGAACTGATGTAAGGTGACACATAGTTCACTCAGTCTCTGTCTATAGTCTCCATGCACACCTGATTCTGAACTTAGACATCATCCATCCCACTAGCCTCCGGTTTCTCTCTCTCTCTCTCTCTCTCTCTCTCTCTCTCTCTCGCTCTCTCTCTCTCTCTCTCTCTCTCTCTCTCTCTCTCTCTCTCTCTCTCTCTCTCTCTCGATCTCGATATTCAACATAGCGCTTGTCATTGATTATAGTGCCATCATCAGCATGGTGATTGTGGGCCTAATTTGATGCAAGATTATTCTATCTCTCCTAGATAGAATATTACATCCATGATGAAAATAGATATTGTGATGAGATACATTATGCATGACCCTAGCTAAGCCATAGGTATGCAATTTCATATCCACATGATATGCTGAATATACTATATTTTCCTAGCTGCTATTTGTCCAACTGTTCCTGCTTATGGATAGTGGGTGAAGGGACCGCAGTGACCTTAAGAGTGTGTGTGTGTATTTCTCAGTACTGTACTGCTGTGTCATTAGTTTGTGGCAACCTGGGACAACCCTGCCAGTCAGCTGAACATCACATCACCCTCAAGAGTCTCTCTCTCAGTACATGCAGTATCCATATATACAGCCTCTACTGTAGACCACCTTCAGGATCTTACCTCTGCTGCCCTCTAGTGTTGGTCTTGCTCATCTCTTCACTGAACTGAATGAAACAAAATTCACTTTCCAAATCATTAGCTCACCACTGGAACCTTTTTCATCCATCATCACACAGCCCACCCCCACAGTAATCTGATGAGTCCTGTAGACTGATGTTGTGTTCTCATGTCCCAGAGGACAGACTCCAGAGGAGTCAGAGCTGAACTTCCTGCAGAAGGCCCAGGAGCTGGAGACGTATGGTGTGGACCCTCACCCCTGCAAGGTACAAACGGGTCCATTATAGCTCTGGACTGGCAGAGTCATTTCAGCTCTCTAATGATTCCAGGACAGTCTGAATCTCATTCAATACGATATGATTTCTTTGCTATTCCGTTTGTGAGGCCAGTTGTATATTGCATACAGATGTTGGATCTTAATTTGACCCATTTCGTCGCAAGAGGAAAATAATCCTGCAGCAGGAGGATTTGAATATATGAAGAAATATTAAAATCGCCGCCAGGGGACAGCTGGAAGTGGTGTTTGTATACAATACAGTACCGTATCTACAGTGTATCTTATGTAGGCTACTTGCAGGCTACAGCGTGTCTCGTGTGAATTCTTATGTGGATTATAATAAATGGACACAGGCCACGATTGAACTACATTTTGACAGTTGATTCGTAACCTTAGGCTACACTTGACACTTGTATTTGGTAGCCTAGTGGAGACCAATATCTATCTAGTGTTATGAAGCTATATGAAACGATGGTTGTTGATGTGTATGGCTGCATTTCAGATACATTGTTGTACGTTTGAATGTTGCAGTAATAGGACCGAGGCCTAGAGTTTGAGCGAGAGAGAGAGAAAATGATTTTGATAGCAAGTCCTGATCCTAATGACTCGACTGCCCCTGCATGGAGAGAAAGAAAAACACTATTTTTCAGGGACTCACAAGGCTCATTTGAAATTCCTGATGCAGCAGGAAAATTTTCTGTGACAAAAGACTGATCAAGTTAAGATCCGACATCTGTACAACAACATACACCGAACACAATACAATACAGTGTATTCAATACTAGTGTTGTGTCTGTGTCAGGATGTGTCAGGGAACCCTGCCTTCCTAGCCTTCACTCCGTTTGGCTTCACTGTCCTGCAGGGGAACAGGAGAGTCCATTTCCTCAAGTGGTGAGTAATAATATGGTTAGCATAGTAATAACTTTTGTCAAGCCTTCATTGTTTCACAGCCAGAAATAGTTGCATAAAATGTAAGAGATGTACGTGTGAAGTAAACTCAGCAAAAAAAGAAACGTCCCCTTTTCAGGACCATGTCTTTCAAAGATAATTCATAAAAATCGAAGTAACTTCACAGATCTTCATTGTAAAGGGTTTAAACAGTGTTTCCCATGCTTGTTCAATGAACCATAAATAATTAATGAACATGCACCTGTGGAACGGTTGTTAAGACACTAACAGCTTACAGATGGTAGGCAATTAAGGTCACAGTTATGAAAACTTAGGACACTAAAGAGGCCTTTCTACTGACTCTGAAAAACACCAAAAGAAAGATGCCTAGGGTCCCTGCTCATTTGCGTGAACATACCTTACATTTACATTTTAGTCATTTAGCAGACGCTCTTATCCAGAGCGACTTACAGTTAGTGAATACATATTTTTTTTTTATACTGGCCCCCCGTGGGAATCGAACCCACAACCCTGGCGTTGCAAACGCCATGCTCTATCAACTGAGCTACATCCCTGCCGGCCATTCCCTCCCCTACCCTGGACGACGCTGGGCCAATTGTGCGCCGCCCATGAGTCTCCCGGTCGCGGCCGGCTGCGACAGAGCCTGGATTCGAACCAGGATCTCTAGTGGCACAGTTTGCACTGCGATGCAGTGCCTTAGACCACTGCGCCACTCAGGAGTACCTGAGGCATGAGGACTTGCATGCTGCAAGGAGGCATGAGGACTGCAGATGTGGCCAGGGCAATAAATTGCAATGTCCGTACTGTGAGACGCCTAAGGCAGCGCTACAGGGAGACAGGACTGACAGCTGATCATCCTCGCAGTGGCAGACCACGTGTAACAACACCTGCACAGGATCGGTACATCCGAACATCACACCTGCGGGACAGGTACAGGATGTCAACAACAACTGCCCGAGTTACACCAGGAACGCACAATCCCTCCATCAGTGCTCAGACTGTCCACAATAGGCTGAGAGAGGCTGGACTGAGAGCTTGTAGGCCTGTTGTAAGGCAGGTCCTCACCAGACATCACCGGCAACAACGTCGCCTATGGGCACAAACCCACCGTCGCTGGACCAGACAGGACTGGCAAAAAGTGCTCTTCACTGACGAGTCGCGGTTTTGTCTCACCAGGGGTGATGGTCGGATTTGCGTGTATCGTCGAAGGAATGAGCGTTACACCGAGGCCTGTACTCTGGAGTGGGATTGATTTGGAGGTGGAGGGTCCGTCATGGTCTGGGGCGGTGTGTCACAGCATCATCGGACTGAGCTTGTTGTCATTGCAGGCAATCTCAACACTGTGCGTTACAGGGAAGACATCCTCCTCCCTCATGTGGTACCCTTCCTGCAGGCTCATCCTGACATGACCCTCCAGCATGACAATGCCACCAGCCATACTGCTTGTTCTGTGCGTGAATTCCTGCAAGACAGGAATGTCAGTGTTCTGCCATGGCCTGCGAAGAGCCCGGATCTCAATCCCATTGAGCTAGGGTCATTCCCCCCAGAAATGTCTGGGAACTTGCAGGTGCCTTGGTGGAAGAGTGGGGTAAGAACTGGCAAATCTGGTGCAGTCCATGAGTAGGAGATGCACTGCAGTACTTAATGCAGCTGGTGGCCACACCAGATACTGACTGTTACTTTTGATTTTGACCCCCCCTTTGTTCAGGGACACATGATTCTATTTCTGTTAGTCACATGTATGTGGAACTTGTTCAGTTTATGTCTCAGTTGTTGAATCTTGTTATGTTGATACAAATATTGACACATGTTAAGTTTGCTGAAAAACGCAGTTGACAGTGAGAGGATGTTTCTTTTTTTGCTGAGTTTAGTTGCATAAAACTTGCGACGTTTGGCTTGCTTGTCGTTAGCTTTTGTTCTATTAACTTGGCAGTCTAGAATCCCACAGTCACAGACCTAAACCCATTTGTCCCTCCTCCTGACTGTAAAACAGAGCTGTTCTAATCTGCCAGTTGGTCACAATGAATATTTCACCGCTTCTCACTGTTCTGTTCGGTTCTGACTGGTCTTGTTTTGTCTTGGTGGGTAGGGACGAGGTGACAAAGCTGAAGTTTGAGGCAAAGACATTCCATATATATGCAAATCAGAAAGAGGTGGGTTCCATGACATGCGTTATTAAAATGGGTTCCTTTCTGCTCTGGAATTTATGTAGATAAACCTGTTTTATGCATTGGAAATGGCCTCTGGGGAGAAGATGTAATTTACCCGTAATAGAGAAGTTATTGACTTAACTGGACATAAGATGTGGGTCCATTACTGCTTTTGATAGATGAATGTGTACTCATTGTGGTCTCGTTCATAGAAATAGAATGAATAGAAATGGTGTCTACATTCAAGTCAATGATGGCATAATGGGTAGACTGGCAGCCATTTTGAGTGTACCCATGCCAGGAAGTAAAAGCAGGAAGTGTACCCTTCAATCTGTGCTGTGATTTGTTGAGTCAACTCAACTGGCATTACAAAAATGTAATTACATTGCATGAGCCACATCAGTTAGCATAATTTGAATGAACATTCTGCATTACCATGGCAATCCAGCATCAGTTGATAGAACATTCCAAAATTATTGCATCACAATACCAGGCAGCCATTGCAAGTGTACCAATGAGTTTACCAGTCAAATGCCAGAGTTAGACCTTCCAAGCACATTCTATTCATTCTATTTCTATGGTTTTGCTAGCCAAGTCAGAAGATGTGAAATACAAGAAATTGAGACTGTACTCATTGTGTATGTGCATACTCTCTGTCATACTCAGATGTGCATACTCATACCTACATGTGCATACTCACTGCAGGACAAGAAGATCATCTTGACGTATTTTGCACCTACACCTGAGGCCTGTAAACACCTGTGGAAGTGTGGAGTTGAGAATCAGGCTTTCTACAAGTGAGTTACATTGACCATCAGTCATTTAATCAATTAATCAATCAATATATGATACAATGTAGGTGCTATTATTACATTGCTAAATCTCTTTGTCTCTGATCACCCACAGGTTGGAAAAGTCCAGCCAGGTCAGAACGGTGTCCAGCAGTAATCTGTTCTTCAAAGGAAGTAGATTCAGATACAGGTAAATATATGTACTGGCTATAAGTAAAGGTCAATACAAATGTTTTGAAGATCCTTCAGTTCAGTTTTTGGTGATAATGCACAGCTGAGTGTTATGTTTTGTCTCTGTGTTGTCTCTCAGTGGCAGGGTTGCTAAAGAAGTGATGGAGCAAAGTGCCAAAATAAAACGTGAACCTCCAGAGATTCACAGGTGAGCCTTGGTGCTTTTGATGTCTGAGTTACACCATGGAAGTTAGTTTGATGTCTGAGTTACACCATGTCTGCGTTTAGACAGGCAGCCCAATTCTGATTTTCTTTCCACTCATTGGTTTTTTGACCAGTCACATCAGATCTTTTCACATCAGATCTTTTTCAGAGCTGATCTGAATGGTCAAAAGACCAATTATTGGAAAAAAAAGATCCGAATTGGGCTGCCCATGGCATTTAGTTTGAGCATGTTGCTTACAACTCTAGATGGTGTGATTCCCACATGGCCCACATACTGAATATACACTATATGTTACCTGACTGTGATTCCCTTTGGATAAAAGTGTCAGCTAAATGACCTCCACTATATCATCCTACGCTCTTAGAACAAAAGGTGCTATCTAGAACCTAAAAGGGTTCTTCGGCTGTCCCCATAGATAACCTTTTGAATAACTATTTTTGGTAGAACCCTTTTGGTTCCAGGTAGAACCCTTTTCGGTTTCATGTAGAACCCTTTCCACAGAGGGTTCTACCTTTAACCAAAAATGGTTCTACCTGGAATCAAAAAGGGTTCTCCTATGGGGCCAGCTGAATAAACTTTTTTCAAAGAGCGTATGCCTGTAACCCCAGAATGTAACGTGTCCACAGGGCTGGTCTGGTGCCCAGTAGGAGCTGTCCGTCCATCACCCACGGCCCGAGGCTGACCAGTGTCCCCCGACAAAGACGGAGAGCTGTACACATCTCCATCATGGAGGGTAAAACACACACTGGCCCCTCTCCACACACATCAGTTACAATAATTTACTGTACACATAGAAAATAGCACACATCTGGCCAGTTTGCCAGACCCAGATAAAGCCTACTCCTGGATTGAAAAGTTTGCTCAATGAATAATCTCCATTGAAAGTGCATTTTAGTCCAGGAGGTAAACTGGTCCCATATTGCATCTAGCAGCTACTTTAAACCCTACATTTTCTTTAGAAGTGCCTTACAAAGCAGCTGCCATAAGATTTAAACATTTATTTGGTCTATACTGCTATGGTACTTCACTGCTTTAAAAGACATAGGTTTCTGAGGTCTGTATTGCCATGTTCCTCCAAAGGGAATATGGTTGGTTGTGCGTCATTGTTGAATGCAGAGTTCTGTTAGATGATGTGAATAGTCTAGGATCATTTCAGAAAGCTGATTGGAGGATGTCCTCCGTGCTCTGTGTCTGAATGGATTATAGCCTTGTAGTGCCTCTATTCTGGGGGATTTTAACACACACACACACACACACACACACACACACACACACTGACGCACAAAGCTTGTTTTGAGCAGTAACCTGAGTACCTTTGCTATGAGAGCAGAGCAACAGTTGTGTGTGTCATTCAGGCTTATCCATAATCCACACACACAAACACACACACACCAAAGGCTACACCAATCATCTATTCTCCTTTGTCCTTCTTGCAATCCTCTCATGAGTTGCTGTGACTCAGGTATTATTGTGGCAGGAGAATGTCACCTTGCTGTTTGTAAAGAGCATTCAGTCCCTTTGACAGTATAAACAGGAACTTGAAGTAGCAACTTCCCTACAAGATGTCTGTTGCATTGTGTTGTACAATGACAGGTCCTGATATTGCACCCCTCCAACCCTGTCCAAACCCCTCCTGTTCTTCATTGGTATCTACAGTGGTAATAATATCCAGACTAAAAATAGCCCCCCTGTCAGGGCCTCTCCATGTATGTCACTATGGAGCACAGGGGTAGAAGGGTAGTAGTGTTAGGGGGTGGGGGGTGGGGGGTAGGATAACCACACTACAAGTAGGCCACATTCCTACTCCCAGCCTGCCTGGCTGGCTGTCATAGAGACAGAGTGGTGTAGTGTAGCCAGCCAGCCAGCCATCGCCAGTCACAAGGACAAGGGATAGGTGACAACAGCAGACAGGGGACAAGGGACAACAGTAGAGCAGACAGGGTGATAGGACGGTGGTAGGGCAGTTGTATGACGGTGGTAGGACGCAATAGGGCAGTTGTAGGATCGTAGTAACTTGGACGCAGGTACAGTGCGCTTATTCGCTCCTTCATCAGCCACCATGGTGAAATGCCTGATCCGGATCGAGACCAAGGTGAATGTGCATCTGTGCATGATCAACCACTGCTACCGTGATGTGAAGGTCCGCGTCCTCCAGCTGGGGCCCAGACTCATGGGCAAGGTTTTGGGGGCCATGCCCATCTTCCCTGCCCTGCCCAGGGCACCCTCAGCCCCCGGGTCTGGGTCCGCAGAGGCCTCCAGGGCTTCGTCCAGGCTGGGCGTACCACCTCCTGGTTATGGCTCCAGCAGGCCAAGCAGCTCCTCTAAAGGTAAAGGACCTCATCATCATGGCACAGGATTCAGAATCCCTTACTAAACCATCCAGGGTTACACTTACACATCTTAAAGAGCAAGTACCTCATCATGGCACACGATTCCTCCATCCAGTGTTACATCTTAGTAACATTGCTTTGAAACAGCTTTGGAAGCCATGACCCTGGAGAGAGGGAGTCTGGGGTAACACAAGAAGCCTTCGAGGAACCTCTTCCTTCTCAGATTCCCTGTTTTCGTTAGAGATGGAACGATGGCATGCGGCTAGACGGAAGTATTTGGTTTGGGTCTGGTGTTGTGCGAAATGTTGTCTCAAGTAAATGTTATGGCAGACGGCTTTGATTCTGAGTTGATGATTGATTTGGTTTAAGGGGATGTTTATGTTTGTAATCTTGTAGAGTGACATCAGTGGCTGCATTGCATGTCTGTTGTGTATGTGAAGCAGTGTGGTGGAGCATTTGGTGAGGATTGGTTGGGGTAATCATGGGTTGCATGTTCGTCACAATATTTTTTTGAATGTTCATTTTGGACTGATGCCCACCTGAGCATTCTACTCAATGCATCGTCAATGAGCGCTGATGAAGATTTCATCAAAAGTGCATTACAGTGGCTTAGAAATACAATTCCATTCAAAATTTGGCAAATCATTTGTAATCATTTTGATGTCGCCAGATTGCCTTTAGATGCAGTATAACGTTAGCTAGTTAGCTAAGATTGAGGGGAGGATACTGGATTTTAGCTAGCTACCGTTAGCATTGCTTGCTATTTTTGACTAACTTTGCTAGCTAATGACAACATTGCCATGTTTAAAGTAAATTGATGATGTTGGAAAAGTTGTTTCATACTAAACATTTGACTACTTTAGCAATGTCATCGTATTTCCAGGCACTATAGTGTAATTTACACTAAACAGTCAATCAATCAAATGTATTTATAAAGTCCTTTTTACATCAGCAGATGTCACAAAGTGCTATACACACCAGCCTAAAACACCAAACAGCAAGCAATGCAGATGTAGAAGCACGGTGGCTAGGAAAAACTCCCATGAAAGGCAGAAACCTAGAAAGGAACCAGGCTCTGAAGGGTTGCCAGTCCTCTTCTGGCTGTGCTGGGTGGAGATTATAACAGTACATGGCCATTAAGGCCAGATTTTTCTCCAAGATGTTCAAACGTTCATAGATGACCAGCAGGGTCAAATAATAATCACAGGGGTTATAGAGGTTGCAACAGGTCAGTACATCAGGAGTAAATGTCACTTGGCTTTTCATAGCCGGGCATTTAGAGGTTGAAATAGCAGGTGCGGTAGAGAGAGAGAGTTGAAAACAGCAGGTCTGGGACAAGGTAGCATGTCCGGTGAACAGGTCAGGGTTACATAGCCGCAGGCAGAAGAGTTGAAACTGGAGCAGCAGCACGACCAGGGTCTGGGACTGGGGACAGCAAGGAGTCATCAGGTCAGGTAGTCCTGAGGCATGGTCCTAGGGCTCAGGTCCTCCAGGAGGGGAGGGAGAGAGGGAGAGAATTAGAGGGAGCATACTTAAAGTCACACAGGACACCGGATAAGACAGGAGAATAACACCAGATATAACAGACTGACCCTAGCCCCCCTGCATATAGACTGGAGGCTGAGACGGGGGGGTCAGGAGACACTGTGGCCCCATCCGACGATGCCCCCGGACAGGGCCAACCAGGCAGGATATAACCCCACCCACTTTGCCAAAGCACAGCCCCCAAACCACCAGAGGGATATCAACCAACCTACTACCCTGAGACAAGGCTGAGTATAGCCCACGAAGATCTCCTCCACTGCACCAGCCCGAGGGGGCGACAAACCGGACAGGAAGATCACGTCAGTGACTCAACCCACTCAAGTGACGCACCCCTCCTAGGGACGGCATGGAAAGCACCAGTAAGCCAGTGACTCAGCCCCAGTAATAGGGTCAGAGGCAGAGAATCCCAATGGAGAGACGGGAACCGGCCAGGCAGAGACAACAAGGGCGGTTTGTCGCTCCAGTGCCTTTCCGTTCACCTTTTCACCCCTGGGCCAGACTACACTCAATCTTACTGAAGAGATGAGTCTTCAGTAAAGACTTAAAGGTTGAGACCGAGTCTGCGTCTCTCACATGGATAGGCAGACCATTCCATAAAAATGGAGCTCTATAGGAGAAAGCCCTGCCTCCAGCTGTTTGCTTAGAAATTCTAGGGACAATAAGGAGGCCTTGTGACTGTAGCGTATGTGTAGGTATGTACGGCAGGACCAAATCGGAGAGATAGGTAGGAGCAAGCCCATGTAATGCTTTGTAGGTTAGCAGTAAAACCTTGAAATCAGCCCTAGCCTTAACAGGAAGCCAGTGTAGAGAGGCTAGCACTGGAGTAATATGATTTTTTAAATGATCATAGTCGTTAGCCTCCATCCAGAATGACTGGGCTTATCACCACTTTAGGGCACCACTATAGCGCCGCCAATAAAGGGCGGCTTGAGAATGTTCATAACAATGGCATGACGCAACCGAGTGATGGAGGTGCAACCTATGAATATTTAGGTCAGAGGGGCCTACTGTATTAGAACACCTTTGTTCCTCTGTGTTAGACTTGATCAACGGCACATATTATATTTAGCAGGACAAGGTAGTATCTACAGCCTACAGTGAATGTGTGTGAGAGTGAAACCTATGATCCTCCATGAGCACTCTCAGATTCTCCCCCTGGATCGTTTTAAAGGCAGGCTGAGCACTCTATTTTCACATTAACACTCTGGGCTACAGAGTAGATCCTGCCTCTCATCCCAAAATTCCCCTGACTCAGGGATTGACATGAATAACTAGATCTGAACTCAGAACATTGAACTGAGAGACACAATATCTCTCTGCCCCAGTTCCTATGTGTGTAGTTATGTTCCATTGCACACTGCTATGTGTTATGTGGATTCACTACTTGTGTAATAGGAGTTGTTGCTCATTGCTCATCAGTTTCACAGCTGAGTTTGATGTTTCTTCTACTCTCTCTCGCCCTCTCTCACTTTCAGGCCTGGAGTCCCTACGAGACTCCGCCCACTCCACACCCGTGCGTTCCGTCTCCCACGGCGACTCCTTCATGCCGCGACACCGTCACCACACAACAGACGCCGGCGAGGGCGGGTCATCCCAGCGGGTCATCTCTGACGAGGCCTACTGCCCCTCGGACAGCGTGCTGCCCACCCCCACAGCCGAACACAGCCACAGCCTGGAGCTATCCGTGGCGCGCCACCCCAATGGAGCCTCCTGCAGCATCGAAGAGGAGAAGGAGTCAGAGGCCGGGACTCCTGAGGGACAGGTGGCTGAGTTCGGCCCCGACGGCAGGGTGCTTCGGCTGGGTCGGACCAGGAAGTCTCTCCCTAACAACGAGGTGCAGGAGCTGCATAAGTTCATCCTGAGTGTGTTGCGTATGTTCCTGGTGACCATGGGACTGCTGTTCGCCCTGCTCTCCCTCCTCATCATGCTGACTGAGTCAGACCTGGACATCGCCTTCCTCCGGGACATACGCAAGACGCCCGAGTTCCAGCAGTTCCACTTTGAGTATTTCTGCCCTCTCAGACGGTGGGTCGCCTGCAAGTTCCGCTGGATGGGAGGCTTCCTTATAAACAAGTGAGAAGGACTGAGGGATGGAGGGAGAGAAAGAGGAGTGAATGAAAAAGAGGCCTCCTCTGAGAGGACATAAGCGAGGGAGGATAGGAGAAAATAAGGGAAGGCGATAGACAGGGAGGACTGCTCCATCTGAATGTGAATTAACCGTCAAGCTTCTCCCACAAGTCACTTCCTGTTACAAGCCAAGGACCGCCCCCTTCGCTGACCCTCTTCCTTTTTCTAACCATCAGACTGAACAGAGGACATTTTCTGAGCTCATGTTTTACTTTGGAAATTCAGGTCATTTCAAGGTACTTTATTTTTTACCAAGAGACGAGTCAACAGAGTTCTAAAACGACATAAAACGAGACATCTGAGGTCTGTTATAGACCTGGGAGGAAACACATATTATTAAACCAACAGAACAACAACAGTTGCCTTTATTTTATATTACTTCATATGAACATCAATTGTAAGAGAGGGGAAAAAAAACTATATAATAATAAGATGGATATTAATATATTAGATGGACATTGATATAAAAACAGAGGTGTGAAGTGTTGTGTTGTGTATTGTCCAATGAGTTGGAGCTGAGAAAGGACGTGAGAGAGATGAAAAATCAGACAGACCATGCCTTTTACTCATTTGGGGTCAACATCTAAAACATCCATGATAATCATTCTAATGCTGCTGAAACTTTCATTTGGGCTGCTATTGGAGGAGAAACACTTCTACTGGCAGGAGTACTGAAGTCTGGAGTCTGAAAGAGATAAAGATATGATATTGAATAGAAGATGTAAAAAGGTACGTTTTTGAATGTACATATACACTGAGTATACCAAACATTAGGAACACCTTCCAAATATTGAGTTGCACCCCCCCACACACCCCCTCCTTCCCCCCTTCTTTTGCACTCAAAACAGTCTCAATTCGTCGGGGCATGGACTCTACAAGGTGTCGAAAGCGTTCCACAGGGATGCTGGCCCATGTTGACGCCAATGCTTCCCACAGTTGTGTCAAGTTGGCTGGATGTCCTTTGGGTGGTAGACCATTCTTACATGGGAAACTGTTGAGTGTGAAAAACCCAGTAGCGTTGCAGTTCTTGACACAAACCGGTGCACCTGGCACCTACTACCATACCCTGTTCAAAGGCACTTAAATATTTGTCTTGCCCATTCACCCTCTGAATGGCACACATACACAATCCATGTCTCAATTGTCTACACTGATTGAAGTGGATTTAACAAGTGACATCAATAAGGGAAGCTTTCACCTGGTGAGTCTGTCACAGGTGTTCTTAATGTTTTGAACACTCAGTGTACTATACTGTGTAATGACTGTGGGTGTCCTAAACTTGATTTATAGTTTGTTGATTGACCATCATAAAAAATTGACATGGAACAACCAAGAGACAGTCATACATCAAAACTAAATTATAAACTAAATTAATTGAATTGTTGTATTTTCTGATTTCAAATGGCATCAGATAGAATACTGTTACCAATTATTTGAATCAATGTATAAAAACTAGCAATCATGAGTTTTTTAAAGGAACTTTTACAAAAGATCAATCAAACTAATAACAACTTCTTTGTTGTTATTATGTGACCTGGAAAGTACAGTAAGGGGTAGAACACTGGTCAACCTCTTGAAAACACTGACTAGATGTGCAATACTATAATGATGAAAACTAGGAGAATTTTAAGGTTGGACATTTAGTACATTTGAGACATTTTAGTTTATTAAATGTGCACTCAAATAAATAATTCTGGTTATTTTCCAAAGGTATAAGAAAATGAAAAGGCCTGCTATGAACATGCCTAGGTGAAAAATACCTTTCAACTTGTAGTTGTGCTAATGCATTGGGTTATTTTCAAATGTTGAATATATTGAAGTCCTGCTGAATTATTTTGTACAAAGTAGAGTCTCCTTATATTGAGAGGTTTCCTTGTATAACCTATTTTAACTGAATTAATGTTCTTTTTTATCATTGAATATGATACTTTTTTAGCGCTGTAATTCAGATGAGGACTAGAATTCAAAGAAATACGCAAGGTAGATAGAGATTCAGGGACGGTTTCCTGGACCCATATTAAGCCTACACCTGATCTATGGCATCCTTAATGGTAAACCTCCATTCAAAGTGCTTTGTAGTCTAGGAATAGGTTTAAACTGGGCCAAGGAACGTTTTTGTCAGGTTTACCTCCAACTCCACCCAAGGGAGCGTTATACCCTCTCATTTTCACACTGTCTTTACATGTCTACCAAAGATACCTCTCTGCAGCCGCAGTGGTACTTCACACGAGAGCTCGAGTTCCTGATGAGGGTTTGGGAGAGGGTTGACTAGTGAAGAGCTGCAGAACAGGACAATGATAATCACCACAAGCTTCTATTATATTGTCCTTAGCTGGCACTCGTTCTGTTGGCTTAGAATAAACAAGTTGAGAGAGGGAATAGCATTGATTTAGGGTTGAACAATTCTGGGAAAATGTCCCCAAAAATCCCAGTTGGAAGATTCCTGGAAATGGGAGGGAATAATCAGAAAGTCCGGAATCCTCGTACCAGGATTTCTGGAAAATCTGGGCATTTTGGGAAAGTGACCAGAAATGTTGCAACCCTACATAGACTCAAGATAAAAGCATCTTTCTACATCATCATTGTGGATATAAATCAGAATGATCTGTTGGTTTGGTTTTGCATCAGTACAATCCTATCAGACATATGTATTTAGTTTTAATGTTATAATCCCTCAAATAATATAGATTTATGGATTAATGTGGTCTGCTCTGCAGCAATATTAGGATAATGACAAGTGGTTGGTCCCTGATTGGTGTATTAAAGTGAATGATTTTGTTTGAAATTGTGGAAGGCCAGTCAAGGCAGACGTCGTTTAACATTTTGATTTTTATACCTCAAATTGCAACTTTGAATTTCAGTTCAATGTGTATGACAAACAATACAACCTTATTTGAGCAATAATGAAAATGTTTGAAAATAACTAAATGTTTAAATTAATGTGGGCAGCTACAGACAATAAAAGTAACTGATGTTTTTCAGTTTGTTTTTGTGTTCTCCCTATGTCTTTCCATATAGGATCAAGTGACATGTTTTTCATGATTAGCCTACCTACCGTTATACTGGTGAACCTAGCTTCTTAATGCATGGGATGAGGTGATGATGAGAAGATGGTGTTGCAGTGACATGCAGCTCAGTGTTGATTGCAATGGGTGCGTTCCAGGTCTTTGCTGCACATCTCAAAAGATCGCATAAATCAATGCAATATAAAAATAAAATTAAAAATCTAGCAATATCATATCAGTGTGGTTCCGGAGATGTGCAAACATGTCTCCAGGGGTCGTATTCACTAGAAACCAAACTGAAGAAAACAAACAAACAGGGAGGGACTACCTTAACTGAATTTTCTTTGCAAGACGTTTTGCTACGGTGTGAATACTAGCGACCCAGCTGGTAAAATCTGGCAATCTGAGCAGTGTGACTGCTATGAAGACGACCTGGAACGTCCCCAATGACTCCAGTGTTTGGAACACCCAGAAAGCCTCTGCAATGTCCTTCTGTTAGCTCCCTTACGGTCTCATGGCCATGCATATGGATCAGTCTCTGTAAGCATGTCTTCTGCATTTCTGTTGTTACTCCCAATCAAGACTGAATATTTTTATCACAGAATGAAGACTGGTGTATTCGATGATTAATTTATCAATAAATATAATTTATTCTTAAATGTGTGTGCCATGTCCCTCACCTCGTGAGTCTTACTCATACCATCTCAACCATTGTAACACTTATTTTACAATATTTGTTATTTCTGATGGTTCCTTGTAAAGCTTACCATATGCTTCCCAGTCTAAACAGTTTGTGCATATATTGTGACAATTTTGTGACTTTGTTCGTTTTGTTGTTTCGGCAGGTCTTTTTTTCGGCTGTTCGAGGAAACAATTGTTCTTGAGGCAAATCGAAGTTTGGTAGCCGAAGTCTACGCCCCTTCGTCGGTGACTGGTCAACAGTACTACTCCTAGTGTTTGTTGTCATTCAACGAGAGACGACTCGTTTTCATGCACATTTATTCATTGAGAAATACTGCACCAAACATCTTAGTTAGATGTAACATTGCGCGACTAAGACCTCAGCAAAAACGTCCATTTATGACAGATTTCTTGATTTATCTTAGATTCATTTGGACTATTTTGAGGAAGTGTTTCTGGCAGCAAATAGAGGCCTCTAGTGGCCAAAAGACAGTTTTAGCATGGGCAGAGCCATTGAGCGCTTCCACCATTTTCAAATAGACAAATTAGTCAACTGGGTGGGGATTCCTATGGTTGTAGCCTCACTGGCGCTGCCCATGCTGGCACAGACACTATAATGGCACAGACACTATAATGGCACAGATATAAAGATGAGTCCTCTATCTATGGTTTCTGGCTATGTTGTTGCTACGGTGGCTCAAGAGGGACAAACAGTACTATTGCCGCTTTTTTCTTTAGGGAGTATACGAGCACAGACGTTCACGTCGCCTAGCCGAGTTCTGCTAGGAGCAAACCGAACCAATGTATGTGGACGCCTTAACCAGTGCTAGTATGACTTCAGTGTAGTTGTTATGAATGTATTAAAACACTGCCACCTAGAGATGAAACACTGGTACTACATCGTCACTAGGCGGTCTTCTATTGCTCTCATTAGAGAACTTTATAATAACACGACTTGTCAGCCTCTGAGCCTCCATATTGAAAATGTAATAAACTACATGAAAAGCGCAACTTCAGCTATAACTTTATTTACTAACAAAATATCAACAAATTGATCATGTATTATTTTTTTCAATCATGTGTAACAACAGCAAAGGCAGCTTGCAGATGAACATAAAAAACAACCACTTATTTTGGTCTATTCTAAGCATATGTTCTGGGCCCGTATTGATAAAGCATTTTAGAGTAAGAGTGCTGATCTACGATCAGTTGAGCCTTTCAGATCATAATGAATAAGAGGGAGGGTACCTGATCCTAGATCAGCCCTCTTACTCTGAGATGCTTTGTGAACAATAGCCCAGGTTCCTCCTCTCAGTCGGTGAAGACATACAGTCGTCCGGAGGCGTTACCCCCCAGTAGAGCGTTCCTGGTGGGGTGGAAGGCTGTGACGGAGAGCACCGTGGTGATCTTTGGGTCCTGGAAGGAGTGCTGGAGCTTCCCACTCTCATGGAACACCTGGATAGAAAAGGATATACTTTATTGTCCCAAAGGAGAAAATTGTCTTGGACACTTTCAGTGCTGCTGTATTCAAAATATATTAAACGTTACCCATATCATACACATCATGTATAGCCACATAATCCATAACTTGTACAATGACCTTACACATTCTGTTAGTGGAATACTAACACGACCTCAGATCTTACTTATTGCTATTGAGGTACAGTGCCTTCAGAAAGTATTGACACCCCTCAACTTTTTCAAAATGTGGTGTTACAAAGTGGAATTAAAATGGATTTCATTGTCATTTTTTGTCAACGATCTACACAAAATGCTCTGTAATGTCAAACTGGTAGACAAATTCCCTGAGCAGTTTCCTTCCTCTCCGGCAACGGCATTAGAAAGGACGCCTGTATCTTTGTAGTGACTGGGTGTATTGATACACCATCCAAAGTGTAATTAATAACTTCACCATGCTCAAAGGGATATTCAATGTCTGCTTCTTTAAATGTTTACCCATCTACCAATAGGTGGCCTTCTTTGCGGTTGAATCTGTGTTTGAAATGCACTGCTTGACTGAGGGACCTTACAGATAATTGTATGTGTGGGGTACAGAGATGAGGTAGTCATTCAAAAATTATGTTAAACACTATTATTGCACACAGTGTGTCCATGCAACTTATTATGTGACTTATTAAGCACATTTTTACTCCTGAACTTATTTTCCATAAAAAAGGGGTTGAATATTTATTGACTCAAGACATTTCAGCTTTTCATTTTTAATTAATTGGTAACAATTTCCAAAAACATAATTCCAGTATTGTGTCTAGGCCAGTGACAAAAAAAATCTAAATGTAATCCATTTTAAATTCAGGCTGTAACACAACAAAATGGGGGGAAAAGTCAAGGGGTGTGAATACTTTCTGAAGGCACTGTATATGATAGACGTGGGAACAAAGGAATGCTTAAACCTGGACTCTGCAAGGCTGATGCATGCTGCCCACAACGAAGCAGTCATCCCTCTTGGGGTCCCACACCGCCTGCAGGTTGGACAGCGAATGCCCCGTTTCCATGTCATGTCTGCAAAGCGGGACAAAGGAAATGGATTCATTAGATATAAACTTTGTCATAACTATAGGTATGGCAGCACTACACAAATACACTACTACACAGATCCTGGAGCTGCTGGATTGTGTCTATTGGTACAAAGCCCACATACTAGAAATAACACAGGCACTGGAGAGTAAACCAATGCAAACAGAGGTTGAGGGATCTTTCCACAATGTTTAGTTTTTTTAATTTAACCTTTTTTTATCCAGGTAGTCTCATTGAGGTACAAAACTATTTTTCAAGAGAGACCTGGTCAGTTTAGTTTTCAAAATGTGATAGTATAATGAAATTACTGGACGGAGGTCAGTAGCGGAGCTCTGGAGGTCAGTTCCGAGGTATCGTAAATCCTGAAAAACAAAAACAAAGTACATTTAATTGCAAAATATTTCAGGTTTCAAGTAAGTATTGGACCATAAGCACAGTAACTTTTATGATAGCATATTAGCAAATGATTCATTTGAACTTGAGCAATTTTTTCATAATTACCCCCATCTCTTTACATATTTTAATGTACTAACGTCTTACTGTAGCATGCAGACAGACTCACCTGATGTTGTCGTCTAGGCAGGTGGTCACTACTCTGTTACCAGTGCCAGGAGAGAAGTAGGCACTTGAGATGCTCTTTGAGTGACCATAGAGCTGGGAGACTGGCTCGCTCGACGACGCCTTCAAACATCGAGCATCGTAAATGCTCACAATACTAGAGAAAATTCAATATCAGTTTTGGCAACATAAAAGATTAATGAAATAGAAAGTGGATTTTCTGAAGAGGACTATTCATACAACTCCAAGGGCTGCAGTAAGTCATAATTTTGCAAACAATACACAAATCAACTTACTAGAAAGCATAGGATTGTCTCAAGGCTTGAGTGTAGAGATTGGTTGCCATAATGACAATGGTCGAGCTGAATGGTTGACATATTGTACATCATAGCACTAATTCCCATTTCGTACCTGTTCTCAGCCACCATGATGTACTGCTTCTGAACAGGGTGGACGTGAACACAGCGAACCGTCTTGGTATCCAGGCTATGGAGGGACTCATGAGAGGTTCTGAGTAAAAACGAGACAGACCAACATTACTAAGGCATTAGCAATTAGCTTTTTGACTTGACTTAAACACAATGGCCAGTCCTTGTACAGAGAGAAATAAAAACGATGTGACTTTACCCTGGAGTCCGCCTGTCAACGATGGCAACGTCTCCATACCAGTCCCCGGTGACTAACGTCGAACAGTCATGTGACAGGAAGTCAAAGGTTCTCAAGCCATCCTTGATCCGATACACCTAGTTGGAGAAAGGACAGAGATAATGTAGGTGTAGAGAGACTACAGCAGTAAAAAGACAGAACAGGGAATCCTAGGTCTGAAGAGTGTGTTCAATAGCCGCTGGGGTCACACATATGCATGCACTATTCTATGTCACTTTGAATGAATTCTAAATGGCATACCTGTATACTATAATCATATTATGCACAGTACCTCATCAAAAATGGCTTTCTCCACGTCTGTGCTCCGTAGTGTCCCGTCGTAGCTGAGGGTCAACAGGTCTGTAGGATGTGACCTGGAGAACGCCATGCAAGCCACCGGCCGGACGTGTGGCTCAAACAGCAGCACGCCGTCGTCACCCATATCAGAGTCCTGAGAAAACAAACAAATAAGCCCAGTCAAACATTAATACTACTGCATCCAGCTTCACAGTGTGTGTGTGTGTGTACACACACGTTTTCCTACCTTATCAGGACCAAAATGTTCTGACAAGTCCCCAGAATGTCCTGAAAAGTCACCAGAATGTCCTGACAGGGTAGGAAAACAAGAACGATTTTGAAAAGTCTGGACTTTTTTCATGTCCTGAATTTTTACAATTCTATTTTAGGCTTAAGGGTTAGTTTTAGGATTTGGGGTTAAGGTTAGGTTTAGGGGTTTGGGTTAAATTTAGGTTGAGGGAAACTAGGATTTTGAATAAGAATACATGTTTACTCCCCAATAAGTCCTGAAAATTCACTAAAACAAAGCTGTGTGGGTGTGTGAGATACTGAGAGAGTACTCACGAGGTTCCACAGCCCCACTCCTCCCCACTTGTCCCCAGCAGCCATGAGCAGACGACTGCTACACGGGTGGAAGGCAGCAGAGAAGATACGACTCTTCACCACCTTAGCTACTCCTCCAATCTCACTCAGCTCCATGCTCTTCAGAGTATTACGGTACCTGGAAACAAATCAAATCAAATCAAATCTTATTGGTCACATGCGCCGAATACAACAGGTGCAGACATTGCAGTGAAATGCTTACTTACAGCCCTTAACCAACAGTGCATTTATTTTAAACAAAAAAAGTAAGAATAAAACAACAACAAAAAAAGTGTTGAGAAAAAAAGAGCAGAAGTAAAATAAAGTGACAGTAGGGAGGCTATATATACAGTAAAATAAAGTGACAGTAGGGAGGCTATATATACAGGGGGGTACCGTTGCAGAGTCAATGTGCGGGGGCACCGGCTAGTTGAGGTAGTTGAGGTAATATGTACATGTGGGTAGAGTTAAAGTGACTATGCATAAATACTTAACAGAGTAGCAGCAGCGTAAAAAGGATGGGGTGGGGGGGCAGTGCAAATAGTCCGGGTAGCCATGATTAGCTGTTCAGGAGTCTTATGGCTTGGGGGTAGAAGCTGTTGAGAAGTCTTTCGGACCTAGACTTGGCACTCCGGTACCGCTTGCCGTGCGGTAGCAGAGAGAACAGTCTATGACTAGGGTGGCTGGAGTCTTTGACAATTTTGAGGGCCTTCCTCTGACACCGCCTGGTATAGAGGTCCTGGATGGCAGGGAGCTTTGCCCCAGTGATGTACTGGGCCGTACGCACTACCCTCTGTAGTGCCTTGCGGTCAGCGGTCAAGCAGTTGCCATACCAGGCGGTGATGCAACCAGTCAGGATGCTCTCGATGGTGCAGCTGTAGAATTTTTTGAGGATCTGAGGACCCATGCCAAATCTTTTTAGTCTCCTGAGGGGGAATAGGCTTTGTCGTGCCCTCTTCACGACTGTCTTGGTGTGTTTGGACCATGATAGTTCGTTGGTGATGTGGACACCAAGGAACTTGAAGCTCTCAACCTGTTCCACTACAGCCCCGTCGATGAGAATGGGGGCGTGCTCAGTCCTCTTTTTTTTCCTGTAGTCCACAATCATCTCCTTTGTCTTGGTCACGTTGAGGGAGAGGTTGTTGTCCTGGCACCACACGGCCAGATCTCTGACCTCCTCCCTATAGGCTGTCTCATCGTTGTCGGTGATCAGGCCTAACACTGTTGTGTCGTCGGCAAACTTAATGATGGTGTTGGAGTCGTGCCTGGCCATGCAGTCATGGGTGAACAGAGAGTACAGGAGGGGACTGAGCACGCACCCCTGAGGGGCCCCCGTGTTGAGGATCAGTGTGGCAGATGTGTTGTTACCTACCCTTACCACCTGGGGGCGGCCCGTCAGGAAGTCCAGGATCCAGTTGCAGAGGGAGGTGTTTAGTCCCAGGATCCTTAGCTTAGTGATGAGCTTAGAGGGCACTATGGTGTTGAATGCTGAGCTGTAGTCAATGAATAGCATTCTCACATGGTGTTCCTCTTGTCCAGGTGGGAAAGGGCAGTGTGGAGTGCGATAGAGATTGCATCATCTGTGGATCTGTTGGGGCGGTATGCAAATTGGAGTGGGTCTAGGGTTTCTGGGATTATGCTGTTGATGTGAGCCATGACCAGTCTTTCAAAGCACTTCATGGCTACAGACGTCAGTGCTACGGGTCGGTAGTCATTTAGGCAGGTTATCTTAGAGTTCTTGGGCACGGGGACTATGGTGGTCTGCTTGAAACATGTTGGTATTACAGACTCAGGGACATGTTGAAAATGTCAGTGAAGACACTTGCCAGTTGGTCAGCACATGCTCGGAGTACACGTCCTGGTAATCCGTCTGGCCCTGCGGCCTTGTGAATGTTGACCTGCTTAAAAGTCTTACTCACATCGGCTACGGAGAGCGTGATCACATAGTCATCCGAAACAGCTGGTGCTCTCATGCATGCTTCAGTGTTGCTTGCCTCGAAGCGAGCATAGAAGTGGTTTAGCTCGTCTGGTAGGCTTGTGTCAGTGGGCAGCTCGCGGCTGTGCTTCCCTTTGTAGTCTGTAATAGTTTTCAAGCCATGCCACATCCGACGAGCGTCAGAGCCAGTGTAGTATGATTCAATCTTAGACCTGTATTGACTCTTTGCCTGTTTGATGGTTCGTCGGAGGTCATAGCGGGATTTCTTATAAGCGTCCGGGTTAGAGTCCCGTTCCTTGAAAGCGGCAGCTCTACCCTTTAGCTCAGTGCGGATGTTTCCTGTAATCCATGGCTTCTGGTTGGGGTATGTACGTACGGTCACTGTGGGGACGACATCATCGATGCACTTATTGATGAAGCCAGTGACTGATGTGGTGTACTCCTCAATGCTGTCTGAAGAATCCCGGAACATGTTCCAGTCTGTGCTAGCAAAACAGTCCTGTAGCTTAGCATCTGCGTCATCTGACCACTTTTTTATTAACCGAATCACTGGTGCTTCCTGCTTCAGTTTTTGCTTATAAGCAGGAATCAGGAGGATAGAGTTATGGTCAGATTTGCCAAATGGAGGGCGAGGGAGAGCTTTGTATGCGTCTCTGTGTGTGGAGTAAAGGTGGTCTAGAGTTTTTTTTCCCTCTGGTTGCACATTTAACATGCTGGTAGAAATTAGGTAGAACGGATTTAAGTTTCCCTGCATTAAAGTCCCCGGCCACTAGGAGCGCTGCATCTGGATGAGCGTTTTCCTGTTGATTAATGGCCTTGTACAACTCATTCAGTGCAATCTTAATGCCAGCATTGGTTTGTGGTGGTAAATAGACAGCTATGAAAAATATAGATGAAAACTCTCTTGGTAAATAGTGTGGTCTACAGCTTATCATAAGATACTCTACCTCAGGCGAGCAAAACCTCGAGACTTCCTTAGTATTTGATTTTGTGCACCAGCTGTTGTTTACAAATATACAGAGACCGCCACCCCTTGTCTTACCAGAGTCAGACGTTCTGTCCTGCCGATGTAGCGTATAGCCTGCTAGCTGAATGTTATCATTGTTGTCGTTCAGCCACGACTCCGTGAAACATAAGATATTACAGTTTTTAATGTCCCGTTGGTAGGATAACCGTAATCTTAAATCGTCCATTTTATTCTCAAAAGCTTGAACGTTGGCTAATAGGATTGATGGGAGAGGCAGTTTACTCGCTCGCCGTCGGATCCTTACAAGGCACCCGGATCTGCGTTTGCGATATCTCCGTCTCTTCCTCACGCGAATGACGGGGATCTGGGCCTTGTCGGGTGTCTGTAGGATATCCATCGCGACCGCCTCGTTGAAGAAAAAATCTTCGTCCAATGCGAGGTGAGTAATCGCTGTCCTGATATCCAGAAGCTCTTTTTGGTTATAAGAGACGAAGGCAGAAACATTATGTACAAAATTAATTACAAATAACGCGGAAAAACACACATAATAGTACAATTGGTTAGAGGGCTGTAAAACGGCAGCCATCTTCTCCGGCGCTGTTCTGTTAGAAACGTACCTAATGTAATGTCAGCCTGGCACAGGTTAGGGTTTTACACATCTACACATTCAAATCAATACAGGACGTCCATCAAATATAAATACAATACTGTTGTTTGTCACAGAACACTTAGAAAATGGCCAAATGCCTAACCTCTCAAATGAAAAGCAAAAGTGTAAATATGGCAAACAATAAACTCACTCTTTGAGATCCCCTTAACATCCAAAATGAAACTCACTCTTTGAGATCCAACTCCTCCTTTTCTTCTTTGATTGAATCCTGTGGAATAAAATAAATAACAGTAAATGATCAGTTAGAAGAGTGAACTGTAAACAGCACTGAACATACAGTAGAAGAGAAGAGTTGCTCAAGATTATGAATAAATGTGCTACCTACCATCAGACTCTAACCAAATGTGACTTTTAAACTGAAATGATTATAAGCCAAGACCGTTTTAAGTGTATGTAGTACCTTGTGTTGTGTTTGTAAAGTATTGTCTTGAGGGTAGAGTAAGCGATGCACAAGTAAACAGCAGTATTGGGCTGACTTCCACAACAACTAAGAGTGCAAAGCGCGATGCTAAACTTCTCTGCCGTTGTTGTCCCATAGCCATCACATTGTAGCAGTGACGTGTGCCAGCGCACATACAGCGGCTTGCAAAAGTATTCACCCCCCTTGGCATTTTTCCTATTTTGTTGCCTTACAACCTGGAATTTAAATTGATTTTTTGGGGGGTTTGTATAATTTGGTTTACACAACATGCCTACCACTTTGAAGACGCAAAATATTATTTTTTTGTAAACAAACAACAAATAAGACCAAAAAAACAGAAAACTTGAGCGTGCATAACTACAAAGTCAATACTTTGTAGAGCCACCTTTTGCAGCAATTACAGCTGCAAGTCTCTTGGGGCATGTCTCTACAAGCTTGGTACATCAAGCCACTGGGATTTTTGCCCATTCTTCAAGGCAAAACTGCTCCATCTCCTTCAAGTTGGATGGGTTCCACTGGTGTACAGCAATCTTTAAGTCATACCACAGATTCTCAATTGGATTGAGATCTGGGCTTTGACTAGGCCATTCCAAGACATTTAAATGTTTCCCCTTAAACCACTCAAGTGTTGCTTTAGCAGTATGCTTAGGGTCATTGTCCTGCTGGAAGGTGAACCTCCGTCCCAGTCTCAAATCTCTGGAAGACTGAAACAGGTTTCTCTCAAGAATTCCCCTGTATTTAGTGCCATCCATCATTCCTTCAATTCTGACCAGTTTCCCAGTCTCTGCCGATGAAAAACATGCCCACAGCATGATGCTGCCACCACGCTTCACTGTGGGGATGGTGTTCTCGGGGTGATGAGAGGTGTTGGGTTTGCGCCAGACATAGCGTTTTCCTTGATGGCCAAAAAGCTCAATTTTAGTCTCATCTGACTAGAGTACCTTCTTCCATATGTTTGGGGAGTCTCCCACATGCCTTTTGGCTAACACCAAACGTGTTTGCATTTTTTTTATCTTTAAGCAATGGCTTTTTTCTGGCCACTCTTCCGTAAAGCCCAGCTCTGTGGAGTGTACGGCTTAAAGTGGTCCTATGGACAGATACTCCAATCTCCGCTGTGGAGCTTTGCAGCTCCTTCAGGGTTATCTTTGGTCTCTTTGTTGCCCCTCTGATTAATGCCCTCCTTGCCTGGTCCGTGAGTTTTGGTGGGCGGCCCTCTCTTGGCAGGTTTGATGTGGTGCCATATTCTTTCCATTTTTTAATAATGGATTTAATGGTGCTCCGTGGGATGTTATTTTTTTATAACCCAACCCTGATCTGTACTTCTCCACAACTTTGTCCCTGACCTGTTTGGAGAGCTCCTTGGTCTTCATGGTGCCGCTTGCTTGGTGGTGCCCCTTGCTTAGTGGTGTTGCAGACTCTGGGGCCTTTCAGAACAGGTGTATATATACTGAGATCATGTGACACTTAGATTGCACACAGGTGAACTTTATTTAACTAATTATGTGACTTCTGAAGGTAATTGGTTGCACCAGATCTTATTTAGGGGCTTCACAGCAAAGGGGGTGAATACATATGCATGCACCACTTTTCCGTTATTTTTTTGAAATAAGTTATTGTTTTCATTTCACTTCATCAATTTGGACTATTTTGTGTATGTCCATTACATGAAATCCAAATAAAAATCAATTTAAATTACTGGTTGTAACGCAACAAAATGGGAAAAACGCCAAGGGGGATGAATACATTTGCAAGGCACTGTACTCTATATGAGTGCATCGTCTTGAATAACGCTCATCTGCAATATCTATGGTTCATCCTTCTGTACGAGGCAACATCATATCGCTGAGTCTCAGTTTAACGCAACTGTGCATTCTGCATAATTCAGTCTTGTCGACTGCGAAAATGAATGAAATTGTATAAAAATTCACAATCTTCTGAAAGTATTCAGACCTTCACTTTTTTCACATTTTGTTACGTTACAGCCTTATTCCAAAATTGATTAAATAAAAAAAAGGTCCTCAATCTACACATTATAGCCCATAATGACAAAGCGAAAACAGGTTTTTAGAAACCTTTGCAAATGTATTAAAAATAGAAAATAAACAGATACCTTATTTACATAAGTATTCAGACCCTTTGCTATGAGACTCGAAATTGAGGTGCATCCTGTTTCCATTTATCATCCTTGAGATGTTTCTACAACTTGATTGGAGTCCACCTGCGGTAAATTCAATTGATTGGACATGATTTGGAAATGCCCACACCTGTCTATATAAGGCCCCACAGTTGACAGTGCATGCGAGAGCAAAAACCAAGCCATGAGGTCGAAGGAATTGTCCGTAGAGCTCCGAGACAGTATTGTGTCGAGGCACAGATCTGGGGAAGGTTACCAAAAATGTTCTGCACCATTGAAGGTCCCCAAGAACACAGTGGCCTCCATCATTCTTAAATGGAAGAAGTTTGGAACCACCAAGACTCTTCCTAGAGCTGGCCGCCCGGCCAAACTGAGCAATCAGGGGAGAAGGGCCTTGGTCAGGGAGGTGACCAAGAACCCGATGGTCACTCTGACAGAGCTCCAGAGTTCCTCTGTGGAGATGGGAGAACCTTCCAGAAGGACAACCATCTCTGCAGCACTCCACCATTCAGGCCTTTAGGGTAGAGTGGCCAGACGGAAGCCACTCCTCAGTAAAAGGCATATGACAGCCTGCTTGGAGTTTGCCAAAAGGCACCTAAAGGACTCTCAGACCATGATAAACAACATTCTCTGGTCTGATGAAAGGAGTGGCTTCGGGACAAGTCTCTGAATGTCCTTGAGTGGCCCAGCCAGAGCCTGGACTTGAACCCAATCGAACATCTCTGGAGACTTGAAAATAGCTGTGCAGCGACGCTCCCCATCCAACCTGACAGAAATTGAGAGGATCTGCAGAGAAGAATGGGAAAAACTCCCCAAATACAGGTGTGCCAAGCTTGTAGCGTCATACCCAAGAAGACTTGAGGCTGTAATCGTGGCCAAAGGTGCTTCAACAAAGTACTGAGTAAAGGGTCTGAATACTTATGTAAATGTAATATTTGTTTTTGCTTTGTCATTATGGGGTAGTGTGTGTAAATTGATGAGGGGGGAAAAAACAATTTAATCAATTTTAGAATAAGGCTGTAACGTAACAAAATGTGGAAAAAGTGAAGGGGTCTGAATTCTTTCTGAATGCACTGTATGTCCCGATTAATCTAATGGGTAAACTTAATGACTAACGTTTCGGCAAAGCAGTGCCTTCTTCAGGGTTCAACCAAAACTTTGGTTATTAGGTTTACCCATTAAATTGTTGGGCGTATATATAAATATATGTCAATGTAAATATTTTGACATTGTTGTGATTGAATGAATGGCACAGAGTGCCCATGTGACTTGTTAAAGTCTTGACTTTGTTGTGTTTATAGCCTCGACAGTTGTTGGTATATTTATCTGTTGCTGGGTGTAACATTATGTAATTTAAATTGACTAATCAAATCTAATCAAATCAATCAATCAATCAATCAATTTTATTTTATATAGCCCTTCTTACATCAGCTAATATCTCGAAGTGCTGTACAGAAACCCAGCCTAAAACCCCAAACAGCTAGTAATGCAGGTGTAGAAGCACGGTGGCTAGGAAAAACTCCCTAGAAAGGCGAAAACCTAGGAAGAAACCTAGAGAGGAACCAGGCTATGAGGGGTGGCCAGTCCTCTTCTGGCTGTGCCGGGTGGAGATTATAACAGAACCATGCCAAGATGTTCAAAAATGTTCATAAGTGACAAGCATGGTCAAATAATAATCAGGAATAAATCTCAGTTGGCTTTTCATAGCCGATCATTAAGAGTTGAAAACAGCAGGTCTGGGACAGGTAGGGGTTCCATAACCGCAGGCAGAACAGTTGAAACTGGAATAGCAGCAAGGCCAGGCGGACTGGGGACAGCAAGGAGTCACCACGGCCGGTAGTCCCGACGTATGGTCCTAGGGCTCAGGTCTCTCAGTTGGCTTTTCATAGCCGATCATTAAGAGTTGAAAACAGCAGGTCTGGGACAGGTAGGGGTTTCGTAGCCGCAGGCAGAACAGTTGAAACTGGAATAGCAGCAAGGCCAGGCGGACTGGGGACAGCAAGGTGTCATCATGCCCGGTAGTCCTGACGTATGGTCCTAGGGCTCAGGTTCTCAGAGAGAAAGAGAGAACGAGAGAATTAGAGAGAGCATACTTAAATTCACACAGGACACTGGATAAGACAGGAGAAGTACTCCAGGTATAACCAACTAACCCCAGCCCCCCGACACATAAACTACTGCAGCATAAATACTGGAGGCTGAGACAGGAGCGGTCCGGAGACACTGTGGCCCCATCCGAAGAAACCCCCGGACAGGGCCAAACAGGAAGGATATAACCCCACCCACTCCGCCAAAGCACAGCCCCCGCACCACTAGAGGGATATCCCCAACCACCAACTTACAATCCTGAGACAAGGCCGAGTATAGCCCACAGAGGTCTCCACCACAGCACAAACCAAGGGGGGGGCGCCAACCCAGACAGGAAGATCACGTCAGTAACTCAACCCACTCAAGTGACGCACCCCTCCCAGGGACGGCATGAAAGAGCACCAGCAAGCCAGTGACTCAGCCCCTGCAACAGGGTTAGAGGCAGAGAACCCCAGTGGAGAGGGGAACCGGCCTGGCAGAGACAGCAAGGGCTGTTCGTTGCTCCAGCCTTTCCGTTCACCTTCACACTCCTGGGCCAGACTACACTCAATCATATGACCTACTGAAGAGATAAGTCTTCAGTAAAGACTTAAAGGTTGAGACCGAGTCTGCGTCTCTCACATGGGTAGGCAGACTGTTCCATAAAAATGGAGATCTATAGGAGAAAGCCCTGCCTCCCGCTGTTTGCTTAGAAATTCTAGGGACAATTAGGAGGCCTGCGTCTTGTGACCGTAGCGTACGTATTGGTATGTACGGCAGGACCAACTCGGAAAGATAGGTAGGAGCAAGCCCATGTAACGCTTTATAGGTTAACAGTAAAACCTTGAAATCAGCCCTTGCCTTAACAGGAAGCCAGTGTAGGGAAGCTAGCACTGGAGTAATATGATCAAATTTCTTGGTTCTAGTCAGGATTCTAGCAGCCGTATTTAGCACTAACTGAAGTTTATTTAGTGCTTTATCCGGGTAGCCGGAAAATAGAGCATTGCAGTAGTCTAACCTAGAAGTAACAAATGCATGGATTAATTTTTCTGCATCATTTTTGGACAGAAAATTTCTGATTTTTGCAATGTTACGTAGATGGAAAAAAGCTGTCCTTGAAACAGTCTTGATATGTTCGTCAAAAGAGAGATCAGGGTCAAGAGTAACGCCGAGGTCCTTCACAGTTTTATTTGAGACGACTTTACAACCATCAAGATGAATTGTCAGATTTAACAGAAGATCTCTTTGTTTCTTGGGACCTAGAACAAGCATCTCTGTTTTGTCCGAGTTTAAAAGTAAAAAGTTTTCAGCCATCCACTTCCTTATGTCTGAAACACAGGCTTCTAGCGAGGGCAATTTTGGGGCTTCACCATGTTTCATTGAAATGTACAGCTGTGTGTCATCCGCATAGCAGTGAAAGTTAACATTATGTTTTCGAATAACATCCCCAAGAGGTAAAATATATAGTGAAAACAATAGTGGTCCTAAAACGGAACCTTGAGGAACACCGAAATGTACAGTTGATTTGTCGGAGGACAGACCATTCACAGAGACAAACTGATATCTTTCCGACAGGTAGGATCTAAACCAGGCCAGAACTTGTCCGTGTAGACCAATTTGGGTTTCCAGTCTCTCCAAAAGAATGTGGTGATCGATGGTGTCAAAGGCAGCACTAAGGTCTAGTAGCACGAGGACAGATGCAGAGCCTCGGTCTGACGCCATTAAAAGGTCATTTACCACCTTCACAAGTGCAGTCTCAGTGCTATGATGGGGTCTAAAACCAGACTGAAGCATTTCGTATACATTGTTTGTCTTCAGAAAGGCAGTGAGTTGCTGCGCAACAGCTTTTTCTAAAATTTTTGAGAGGAATGGAAGATTCGATATAGGCCGATAGTTTTTTATATTTTCCGGGTCAAGGTTTGGCTTTTTCAAGAGAGGCTTTATCACTGCCACTTTTAGTGAGTTTGGTACACATCCGGTGGATAGAGAGCTGTTTATTATGTTCAACATAGGAGGGCCAAGCACAGGAAGCAGCTCCTTCAGCAGTTTAGTAGGAATAGGATCCAGTATGCAGCTTGAAGGTTTAGAGGCCATGATTATTTTCATCATTGTGTCAAGAGATATAGTACTAAAACACTTAAGTGTCTCTCCCGATCCCAGGCCCTCGCAGAGCTGTGCAGATCCAGGACAGCTAAGCCTTGGAGGAATACGCAGATTCAAAGAGGAGTCCGTAATTTGCTTTCTAATGGTCATGATCTTTTCCTCAAAGAAGTTCATGAATTTATCACTGCTGAAGTGAAAGCCATCCTCTCTTGGGGAATGCTGCTTTTTAGTTAGCTTTGCAACAGTATCAAAAAGAAATTTTGGATTGTTCTTATTTTCCTCGATTAAGTTGGAAAAGTAGGATGATCGAGCAGCAGTGAGGGCTCTTCGGTACTGCACGGTACTGTCTTTCCAAGCTAGTCGGAAGACTTCCAGTTTGGTGTGGCGCCATTTCCGTTCCAATTTCCTGGAAGCTTGCTTCAAAGCTCGGGTATTTTCTGTATACCAGGGAGCTAGTTTCTTATGACAAATGTTTTTCGTTTTTAGGGGTGCAACTGCATCTAGGGTATTGCGCAAGGTTAAATTGAGTTCCTCAGTTAAGTGGTTAACTGATTTTTGTCCTCTGACGTCCTTGGGTAGGCAGAAGGAGTCTGGAAGGGCATCAATGAATTTTTGTGTTGTTTGAGAATTTATAGCACGACTTTTGAATCAATACTCTTCGTTAGTCAGCACCTCTAAAATAAATGTTGTGTGTGTCACTCATGCTTTTTACTAGACCATGAATGAAATAAAACCTGCCCACCTTGGTCCACAGCTTGAGAAGCTCAGGTGGTAGTGAACTATCCTCCTCCATGTTGACTGGCTCCATATTGATGGGCCCCTCTGGCTTCCTGGCCCGGTTCACCTTTGTTAAATACACAGTGCGTATAAACAAACAAAAACAAACAAACAAGTATCATGAGCATTCAAAAGTGTGTGTGTAGGCCTCTGTTTAATCCATGACAACTTCTATCCTTGTGTAGAGTAGTTAAAGGTAGTTATTATTTCCTAACATAACAGGATTTGCTATTGGTCAGTCGCTTACACGTTCAGTTTTATAATAAGTCCTGCGTGGTTCCGGGGGCGGCTTCTCTGCTTCTATCTTCTGGATTCTCACAGACTTGGTGCGAGGAGGCAGTATTTCTGTCCGGGGTACCTTACTGTATTGGGAAGACAAATAAGTTAGAAACAGAAACGGTCACACTCGCATTCTACATTTCTCTATGCTACAACCCATACCTGAAGCTCATGCACTTTGAGCTGAAACCAAATACTACCAGTAATCACGTTTCCATCCACAGTTTCTATGTGAGTAAAGTCATACCATATTTTTAAAAAATCACGACAGCTGTGATGGAAACATGATTACTGGTACAATTTTATAACTGCCGACAGATAGTTTGTTCATTCGACATGGTGGGATCTTTTTGTGTCTGTAAAATTAATTATGCGAGAAATGGTGGTGGAAACGCTGTAATGTGCAAATATTTATATAATAACCATCATTTCGAAGTAAACTTGGAGTCACGCGATGATATGGTGTGTGGTCCTCGGACTACGACTCAGGAAACCATGCAGTTTATTAGGCTACAGATTAAATAAATGATGATGAACTTTACAGGGTGATGAGCTTGATGCTCCTTTCCAACAAATATCGAGGGTCTTATTCTGGTGACATGACGATCGATGCTTGACTGCCGTTTGACAAATAAAACTATTCTTCTCGCTCTTATCCATAATAATGGATAATAATCATGTAGACTAGCCTACCCACACTGTATCTGCCAGCTGTTGGCTAGAGCGCACGTGCCAAGACCAGAGTAGGCACATTTGCTATTTAACGCAACAGTTTTTGTGACAAATCTATCAGTAGAGTTGAAAATGCGATGGAAACACATTGAACTTTTGATTTTTATTTGGTACATGAAAACTCAAAAGAAAAAATATATTGTGTGTGCACTACGTCATCACGCACTGATTTTTATCTGCAACAAGTCCGTTTGGTGGAAACACACCACTGGTGGGAAAATGTGCATATTTTCTTTATGCGGATTTTAGAATATCCACATGAAAATCTGTCGACAATTGGATGGAAACCTAGCTAATGACTGACAAATGCAAGTAAATAGGAAACATTCCAAGTAATAAATAAATATTTTCAGTGGAACAAATGTTTAATCTGTCATTACCTTAGTTTCTGTCTCTTGAGACCTCTCTGTGTTGTTTCTGGTTTCAAATCCTGCTTGGCCTATTGAGGAAACAATCATTTGCATAGGCACAGTGAATTCAGAAAGTTTTCAGACCCCTTCCCTTTTTCCACATTTTGTTACTTTACAGCCTTATTCTAAAATTTATTAAATATAATGGTTTTCGATCTTCACAGAATACCCCATAATGACAAAGCGAAAACAGGTTTTTATAAATGTTTGCAAATTTATAAAAAATATATAAAAACATAAATATCTTATTTACATAAGTATTCAGGCCCTTTGCTATGAGACTCAAATTGAGCTCAGGTGCATCCTGTTTCCACTGATCATCCTTGAGATGTTTCTACAACTTCATTGGAGTCCACCTGTGGTAAATTCAAATGATTGGACATGATCCTCAGTAAAAGGCACATTACAGCCCATGTGGAGTTTGCCAAAAGGCACCTAAAGGACTCAGACCATGAGAAACAAGATTCTCTGGTCTGATGAAACCAAGATTGAACTCTTTGGCCTGCATGCCAAGTGTCACATCTGGAGGAAAACTGGCACCATCCCTACGGTGAAGCATGGTGGTGGCAGCATCATGCTGTGGGGATGTATTTCAGTGGCAGGGACTGGGAGACTAGTCAGGACAGAGGGAAAGATGAACGGGGCGATAAACGGGGCAAAGTACAGAGAGATCCTTGATGAAAACCTGCTCCAGAGCGCGCAGGACCTCAGACTGGGGCGAAGGTTCACCTTCCAACAGGACAATGACCCTAAGTACACAGCCAAGACAACGCAGGAGTGGCTTTGGGACAAGTCTCTGAATGTCCTTGAGTGCCCGGCCAGAGCCCGGACTTAAACCTGATCGAACATCTCTGGAGAGACCTGAAAATAGCTGTGCAGCGACGCTCCCCGTCCAACCTGACAGAGCTTGAGAGGATCTGCAGAGAAGAATGGTAGAAACTCCCCAAATACAGGTGTGCCAAGCTTGTTTTTGCTTCGTCATTTTTTTAATTTATTTTTATTTAACCTTTATTTAACCAGGTAAGCCAGTTGAAAACAATGTCATTATGGGATATTGTATTGATGAGAAAAAAAACTATTTAATCAATTTTAGAATAAGGCAGTAACGTAACAAAATGTGGGAAAAGTCAAGGGGTCTGAATACTTTCCGAATGCACTGTAGATACCATTGAAACTCTGTTCTTCAACAAACTAACCTCAAGCAGTTTTATGGAGGTCAGGAACTCTTGGTTTTGTCTGATATTTTCCAACCGTTCCAATTCATATGTCGATAGACCTCCAGGTTGTATCTGCAATGTGAAAACAAAGAGTAAAGTGAGGTCACCAACAGAGTTGTATTCATTAGCGCTCACCATACCAACATTTTTGCGCAACCTAAAAGAAAAACAAGCATTTCTTCTTGGACAATTGCAGCTAGTCCCTTCCTGTTTCAATCAGTTTTCTTCAGTTTGTTGTCTAATGAAACATGACCCAGGCATGTCTCTATATGTATTCTAATCTAGACCACAATGAGTACCATACTATACGTCTTCATCTTCGACTTTCTGCTTCTCTGACTTCAAAAATTATTTCTTCCACGTTCAAAGGTGGTGCTTTCCTCTGAGACAAAAACATTTGCATTTACCAGGATAGTCCTGGTCACCACAGTGTTACATTTTGTTACATTTTGTCTAGTCTTAGTCATTTTGACTAAAATATCCTTAAGTCACATTTTCTTCATTAAATAATGATTTAGTCTAGTTATTGACAAAATTATGAAAACAGTGGACCATTTTAGTCAACTAAATGCCCTTTCATTTTAGTCACATCACATTTGTATTGCCTCATTAACCTATAGTAAACATACATCACTGACTTCCATGTGTACTAACATACATAACCTTGTCCTACCAACAGATTGTCCTGCATAACATCCTCTTCTCTTCTCAACAGCAGAAATATGCAGCAAACGTATATAAGAATGATCTGGCCATGTAAATTCTTAATTCAGCCTACATAGATATTACACATTACATACAAAACAAACAGACACACACACACAAACACAGAGAGAGAGACAGAGACTCAGTGAGCACAGCCTGGCCATAGAAACTGTCCGTCAGACAAATCTGGCTACGCAGAGAGTACAGGTTGTGGTCACTCTGCCCTCAGGGTAAGGGCTCAAATCAAGTTGTTTTCTCTGAGGAAAAGAGGGAGACATGACTACTGAGCCTGGCTATGAAATGCAGTGTGGAAAGGGGGAAAAGACAGCCTACTTTTCTATACTCAAGGGAGAGAAAAACATAGCGAGACTGTTGTTTTACTATTAAACTCAATGCTGCTATTGTTTTTCATTTCATAAAGCAGCTTGTGTTTCTTAAAACAGGCAAAGGGTAGCTAACTAGAAGGCTGGTAGGGACTGGTTAGTTTAAGGGGAAGCAAGAGAGTTGCCAGCGCGATGTGTATAATCGGAGGCGGAGCGGGTCTGCCCACACTCATCTCTTGTTCCCCCCGCAGCTCACCAACTGATGTAGGCTGTGTGTGCCGGTGGTGGCTCCTCCTTTCCACTGCTGAACAGAACTGTGCTGCACATCTGTGCTGCTAATATTAATGGTGATCATCACTGGAAAGCTCTCAATCTCTCCAAACTATTGGCCAGTCTACTTAGCAGTCAGATTTTACTCACAAAGAGACGTTTCTCTCCTTTTAGTCAACTGAAATGAAAAATAGTTTTAGTTAAGTTCTATTTTTTCTGGGTCTATTTAGTAAATTATAGTCTTGTCAATTGCCACTGAAAAATAGGTGTTGGACGAATATTTCAGTCACTTCTTGTTGGAAAAATGAAGACTGGGTCACCATTAGCCTTTACCCTTCTGACTGACTCCATCATTAGTGCAATGTTAGAGTCAGAAGGGCATCATTAGCCTGTGCAAAACCATTGAAACAATCACACAGATAATAATGGAACTCTGCCTGGTCATATGGAACAGAGGTCATCATATGGGTGGACACGTACCTTTCTTTTCTTTTTGAAGCTGGGCTTAGGTACCAGTACCTCATCTGGGGTGAATGTCTTGGGTTTGCACGTCTCTCTCGCTAAACAGCGTACAGAGACAACATTCTCGGTGTCCGTGTGCTTCATTTCCTGCAATTAATGTTGGGATGCTTTTCAATTGGGTAATGACTTAAAAAGCTGTATAATTTATCATAAACTTAGCACCGTTTCCTCAAGTAGACAGATGGCTAAATCCTACCATCCTGGAGGTCTTCAGGAACAGTAGCTGGCGAAAACTCTAGGCGGCATCCTGCCTTCTCCCTAAAGTTCTCAGCCATTTACCTTCACCCACGACTGCCTCATGTGAACTACAATCCTGACGAAGCTGTGTTTTAACGTTTAGAAACGTCAATAATCACTGCTTGCGATACGGCTTTCGAAACATATGGCCCTTATCTTTCATCAACGAAAAATAATCATTCAAATAAAAAAGATACACTTACTGTAGCAGTTTTGCAAAGATCCATATAGCTATGGGTGCTTCCAGCTGATGAAACTACATTTCCTTTACACTTCCGGAGTGGTGGAAAAAGTACCCAATTTTCATACTTGAGTAAAAGTAAAGATACCTTAATAGAAAATGACTCAAGGCCCCACTCCAACACTAAGACATAATTTACAAACTAAGCATGTGTATTTAGTAAGTCCACCAGATCAGAGGCAATAGGCATGACCAGGATGTTCTCTTGATAAGTGTGTGAATTTGACCATTTTCCTGTCCTGCTAAGCCTCCCGAGTGGCACAGTGGTCTAAGGGGTAGGGGAGGGAATGGCCGGCAGGGATGTAGCTCAGTTGGTAGAGCATTGCGTTTGCAACGTCAGGGTTGTGGGTTCGATTCCCACGGGGGGTATGAAAAAATAAAAATGTATGCACTCACTAAGTGTAAGTCGCTATGGATAAGAGCGTCTGCTAAATGACTAAAATGTTTAAAAAATTAAAATGCATTCAAAATGTAACGATTACTTTTGGGTGTCAGTGAAAATGTATAGAGTAAAAGTACATTATTTTCTTTAGGAATGTAGTGAAGTAAAACTAAAAGTTGTCAAAAATATAAATAGCAAAGTAAAGTACAGATACCCCAAAAAACGACTTAAGTAGTACCTTAAAGTATTTCTACTTAAGTACTTTACACCACTGCGCTTACACACAGGTGTTCGGAGCATGTTAGATAGCTAATTAGCACAAGTGGTCGCCTCTTGCCTTCCTCCTGTTTTCAGTAAACAAGCAAGCAAGCGCTGTAACATGGAGATAAGGCCATGTGGGAACACTAACCCTATCAAGATGTGTATCAATCAGTAGTACAAACAATAACAAAGCCCTCCCCGCCCCTGGTTCGGTAAAAAACCTAAGGGATGGGGCTGGAGAAACGCTAACATTCAAATTCATAGACTGACCATCCATTATATAAATATTATAGTTTTAACCATGTTTTGAGGCTACATAGTGTTTGTTTACATTTTCTTTGTTTACAAACGTTCTGATGGGCTATGAAAGTTGAACTAAGCTCATGAGACATTTATACATAAATTATATTCTTCAAGCATCAATGGGTATATATAATTTAAGTTTAAATCCAAAAATGGATGTAGCAACTGCTGATTGTCCCTTTAACCTTATAAGGGTCCTTATGCTTCCAATACCGTAGTGTAAGCGACGCGCAGATTGTGCGTCGGGGTTTTTAATAAAACTTCCCCCTACAGACGACGCCTTCGTCCAATGACTCTTAAGTGTAATGTAATGGAACTCAGAGTCATCATCAAGGGCTACAGGAACAGATATACTAGACTATGAATGCTAGCTAGGTACGCGAGGAAACTTGAGGTGCGCATGGGCGGGGAATTTGGAATACTACTGTAATGTGATCGGATAAATAAAACTTCTGTTTGGGTAAATAATCTCGGAACCCAGAACCAAATCTCGCATGCATGAGCATTAGTCAACTGCTTCTCGGTGTCTGTCTAAGAGAGACAAATTAGATAAAAAAGAAAACATTCTGGTCCTAATACTGCAATATATGCAACCTACAGTGTTTGTACAGATTGTTTGTTACTAGCTAGCTATGACTCACTAAAATTAGCAATGTTTCAAGGGTGCTGTGTGGACAGTTGTATAGGCAATGGTCCTCCTAATCTTACCTGTAATATGTTGTGTAATTTCACAAACGCGTTCGCAAGTTTTGGGTCTTCCAAATCCATCAGGCAAACGGAGACGCAGATGTTTAGCTAGCTAAACTGTGTTGGTTTTCTTGAGTCTTGGTTGATGTAGCTAGAGATCCCACCGAATAAGAATACTTATTTTTCTGTGGGGTTTATCGGCGGTTGGCATCCAACGTTATGGTCCATTATCGCCACCTACTGTACTGGAGTGTGGGCAAGAGACAAGGAGGAACTAAATCTTATCTACCAGCCCCGTTTCTCTTTTTTAAAAATAGACTGTATTAGACTGTATCTAACGATGTTCTACTCAGTATGCTCTTTAAACTAAATTCCTGTATTGGTAACACCATTTTTTATACTGTATCTAACGATGTTCTACTCAGTATGCTCTTAAAACTCAATTCCTGTATTGGTAGTCCCCTGTAGCTCAGTTGGTAGAGCATGGCGCTTGCAACGCCAGGGTTGTGGGTTCGTTTCCCACGGGGGGCCAGTATGAAAATATATGCACTCACTAACTGTAAGTCGCTCTGGATAAGAGCGTCTGCTAAATGACTTACATGTAAAATGTATCCCATTCTCCTTCATACTGGACCTTTGTCTTTCCCTATCATACTGTATCAGCTCTTAAGAACAGAAGTCTTCTCTATACACATCGTATTTCGCAAAAAAGTTAACCTCAGCAGCATCAGTTTAAAATACACAAAATATGCCTTGTTCAAACCTCTAGATGATAACTTTACAAGTCAAGTTGCGGGGCTTGCATTAGCTCTTTAAAATGATTTTTGTGGTAATGGTAAAAGTTTTACTTTACTATTTAAAGCAAAGCAGTTACATATAGTAAAACAATCGGTCTGATTACTTTGATAGACTACTATATCAACCTTATTACTTTGGATTGTGGGACAGTTAGATTACAAACATGTCTACACTACAGTTGTTGTGTGTGAACTAAAAGAAGAAAGACATAGGACAAAGATCTTCTGTCAGATGATGGGAATAAAATGCAGGATCATGTGGAAAACACTGAATCATTCATGCTGTGGGTTTCAGATAAAGACTCACAAATTACTTTTGTAAAACGTTCAGTGTAAATTAAGTTAGGTTTTTGTTCAATGATGATGTAATGATTAGAACATTAGCCTATTATTTGGGGAGATAAATATGATGGTGCATCTAGTGATGAAAGCTAGAACTATGTAGAATAGGTTTGTCTATAGACCTACTGATAGCTAGCTGTAGTTCTTCTTTCTAATAAATAAACTCTTAAGGCTAACAGTGATCCCTGAAAACTCAATTTCCTGAAGAAAATGTGGTGTGCTTGCTAGCTTGTTTTAAAGTACATTCGGAAAAATTTTCAGACCCCTTCACTTTTTCCACATTTTGTTCCGTTACAGCCTTATTCTAAAATGTATTATTTATTTATTTTCCCTCATCAATCTACACACAATACCCCATAACTCTGGAGCTCTGTCAGAGTGACCATCGGGTTCTTGGTCACCTCCCTGACCAAGGCCCTTCTCCACCGATTGCTCAGTTTGGCCGGGCGGCCAGCTCTAGGAAGAGACTTGGTGGTTCCAAACATCTTCCATTTAAGAATGATGGAGGCCACTGTGTTCTTGGAGACCTTCAATGCTGCAGAAATCTTTTGGTGGTTCCAAACTTCTTCCAGATGTATCTTTCCATTAATCAAATAGCCGCTGCACAGTTTGGATTGATTGATAGATTTTATTTGTCAGTTTAAAAAAACTGACAAATATTTGTAAAAGTGACCGGGATTCCACAATAAAGTCAGGGACTTATTTCCATTGTGGTCCCTAATTTTTACATAAATGGATATACAATTACGTAGACAAAAAAAGTTATACTGCTCACACTTTAGCCAGCCTTTGACATTCTTTTTAAAAGTGGTTATGGTTGGTATGTATTTGAGTTGCTGTGGTGGTTTTTTCCACTCAACAGAACCAGTATATAAACATTTGTTCTTACCAGATAGACTCATATTTAAAACAGTGAATATTAGAGTCTCTGGCATTATGCTGGTGGACATCTCTTACAAATGAAAAATATACTGAAAAAATTAATAAACACAATAACTTTCAGACTTTACTGAGTTACAGTATAAGGAAATTAGTCAATTGAAATTGTTAAATTGCGTCAATTCAAATCTGGTATAGGAACAAAAAGAGGTCAATACACGTCTTCTAAAATAGACTAGTATTTTAATTAATGCAAACACTTGAATTGGTAAATATGATGTTCGTATATACGGGCCCACTGAAAAACCACGCAGGGCAGTCAGAGAACTGAGCTTTTGTTATAAGTTCTTCTTTAAATACCCTGACAAAGATAGTTCCCGCTCCCTGCTGGGCCTGTCAGGATAGAGGCTGGGCGTGGTTTAAACTTAACCCAGCCTATCGATGGCGCACAGGCTGGTCCCAGCCCCTTGGCGCTTCACTGTTGCCAGGCATTAGTTGTTATCTTTACAACTTGTCTTGAGTCAGCAACCTCAGACATAGTTTGTCCTTGAGCGGTTTAACAAAGAGGCAGTGTGTGTGTCTGTGTGAATCACAAGTCTGTCTCAGCCTACCCCCTAACGGTTCCTCACATTAATCACAGCTTGTTATGTTAAACAATCTATCAGTACAGCACAAACCTATTATGTTTAATCATTAATGTATTCTTTCTAAGCTAGGCATCACATCTAGTTAAGAAAATAGATCCCCACAAAATAAATAAATTAGGCCCTAATCTATGAATTTCACATGACTGGGAATACAGATATGCATGTGTTGGTCACCCCCAATGTTTGGTGCTGCTGGTGAACCATGATGTGCAGGCATAATCAGTGACACAGGACTAGTGCACTTGCCAGTGTCTTTAGGGTGTCTATGGCTAGTTTTCCATCCAAATGGCGACAGATTTTCATAAATAAATAAAAAGAAAACTGCATTAAAAACAAATATGCACATTTCCCATCAGAGTTGTTTCCATCTAATTGACGTGTGGATAAAAGTACCGGTATGTGCGTAAATATGTTGTGCACATAAAAATAACTTTTGCCGTTAAATTCCCATGTACTGAATAAAAAATATATTAGTTAAATGTGTTTCCGTCGCATTTTCAACTCTAAGCCCACTGATTTTTCTTTTCAGGGCTGATGTAGAACACAAAGATGATTCAAATAAAAGTAAACATTTAATTAAAATGCAAATTAGCCAGTACAGAACACATAATTACAGTAATTTAAACCCAATAATTTAAGGTAGGGTGGTCATATTAAACAAATATTCATGCTTTATCAATTTGAAAACAATTTCTGAAATCCCCCCCCCCCCCCCATCACACACAGCCTAACACAGACGCACACTTCTCACTAAGTCCGAACCGTAACACAGAAGGCTACTAGTCTAATAACATAGCTTACTTCTAAGGTAGGCCTATACCTGAGTTGGGTTACATTGTAATGCACATTTTCAGTGCACTTCGATTGTAGGGCTGTAGCAACTGAATTCTGGTCGATTTTACTTGAATAAAACCATCAATCACAAAATTCGCTGCTGGCACAATAGAGCCAATGAAAGGTAATAAACTACATGAAAAACTAAACTTCAGCTAAATATATAAACTTTATTTAAACTAACTAAACATCAACAAATTGATAGAAAACAATGTGCAACAATAGCAAAGGCAGCTTGCAGATAAACATAAAAATTAAATTAAAAAAACAACCACTTATTTTGGTCTATTCTAAGCATGTGTTATGGGCCCGTATTGATAAAGCATTTTAGAGTAAGAGTGCTGATCTACGATCAGTTGAGCCTTTCAGATCATAATGAATAAGAGGGTGGGTACCTGATCCTAGATCAGCCCTCTTACTCTGAGATGCTTTGTGAACACTGGCCCAGGTTCCTCCTCTCAGTCGGTGAAGACGTACAGTCGTCCGGAGGCGTTACCCCCCAGTAGAGCGTTCCTGGTGGGGTGGAAGGCTGTGACGGAGAGCACCGTGGTGATCTCTGGGTCCTGGAAGGAGTGCTGGAGCTTCCCACTCTCATGGAACACCTGGATAGCAAAGGATATACTTTATTGTCCCAAAGGAGAAAATTGTCTTGGACACTTTCAGTGCTGCTGTATACAAAATATATGAAACATTACCCATATCATACACATCATGTATAGCCACATAATGCATAACTTCTACACCGACCTTACACATTTATACTAACACGACCTCAGATCTTACTTATTGTTGTTGAGGTTAGATGATAGACGTGGGAACAAAGGAATGCTTATACCTGGACTCTGCGAGGCCGCTGCATGCTGCCCACAACGAAGCAGTCGTCCCTCTTGGGGTCCCACACCGCCTGCAGCTTGGACAGCCAGCGCCCCGTGTTCAATTGATGTCTGCAAAGAGGGACAAAGGAAATGGATTCAATAGATATAAACTGTGTCATAACTACAGGTATAGCACCACTACACAAAGACGCCACTACAAAGATCCTGGATTTGCTGGCTGATGTCTATTGGTAGGGATCATTCCACAATGTTTAGTTTTTAAAATGTGATAGTATAATTAATTTACTTGATGGAGGTCAGTAGCGGAGCTCTGGAGGTCAGTTCCGAGGTGTCGTAAATCCTGAAAAAACAAAGTAAATGTAATTGTAGAACATTTCAGGTTTCAAGAAAGTATTGGACCATAAGCTCAGTAACTTTTAAAAAAACACTTTTATGATAGCATATTGGCAAATGATTCATTTGAACTTGAGCAATTTTTTCATAATTTCCCCCATCTCTTTACATATTTTAATGTACTAACGTCTTACTGTAGCATGCAGACAGACTCACCTGATGTTGTCGTCTAGGCAGGTGGTCACTACTCTGTTACCAGTGCCAGGAGAGAAGTAGGCACTTGAGATGCTCTTTGAGTGACCATAGAGCTGGGAGACTGGCTCGCTCGACGACGCCTTCAAACATCGAGCATCGTAAATGCTCACAATACTAGAGGAAAATCAGTTTTGGCAACATAAAAGATCAATGAAGTAGAAAGTGGATTTCCTGAATAGGACTATTCATACAGATTCAAGGGCTGCAATAAGTAATAATTTTGCAAACTTGACAAAATACATAAATCAATCTTATTAAAGCATAGGATTGTCAAGGCTCGAATGTAGAGATTGGTTGCCATAATGACGTCAGTCCACCTGATTGGTTGACATTTTACATCATGGCACTGATTCACATTTTTTACCTGTTCTCAGCCACCATGATGTACTGCTTCTGAACAGGGTGGACGTGAACACAGCGAACCGTCTTGGTATCCAGGCTATGGAGGGACTCATGAGAGGTTCTGAGTAAAAACGAGACAGACCAATATTACTAAGGCATTAGCAATAAGCTTTTTGACTTGACTTAAAACACAATGGCCAGTCCTTGTACAGAGAGAAATAAAAACGATGTGACTTTACCCTGGAGTCCGCCTGTCAACGATGGCAACGTCTCCATACCAGTCCCCGGTGACTAGCGTCGAACAGTCATGTGACAGGAAATCAAAGGTTCTCAAGCCATCCTTGATCCGATACACCTAGTTGGAGAAAGGACAGAGATAATGTAACAAAGACAGAACAGGGAATCTAAAGTCTGATATGTGTGTTAAATTCCCGCTGGGGTCACACATCCCGAAATGCATGCATCGCTTTTGAAAAAAAAAAAGATTGCTAAATGGCATTTACGATTATCGTTTTATTATGCACGGTACCTCATCAAAAACACATTTCTCCACGTCTGTGCTCCGTAGGGTCCCGTCGTAGCTGAGGGTCAACAGGTCTGTAGGATGTGACCTGGAGAACGCCATGCAGGCCACCGGCCGGACGTGTGGCTCAAACAGCAGCACGCCGTCATCACCCATATCAGAGTCCTGAGAAAACAAACAGCAGCACGCCGTTGCCGCGTTCAAAACAACTGGGAACTCAGAAAAAATACTAGCTCCGACTGGGATTTTTTTTCTGAGTTCCCAGTTGTTTTGAACACGGCAAGTCCTGAGAAAAACAAACAAATAAGCCCAGTCACACTTCACACATTAACTCTACTGCATCCAGCTTGACTGTGTGTGTGTGTGTGTGTGTGTGTGTGTGTGTGTGTGTGTGTGTAGAGTGTACTCACGAGGTTCCACAGCCCCACTCCTCCCCACTTGTCCCCAGCCGCCATGAGCAGACAACTGCTACATGGGTGGAAGGCAGCAGAGAAGATACGACTCTTCACCACCTTAGCTACTCCTCCAATCTCACTCAGCTCCATGCTCTTCAGAGTATTACGGTACCTGGAAACGTACCCAATGTAATGTCAGCCTGGCATAGGTTAGGGTTTTACACATCTTCACATTCAAATCAGTACAGGACGTCCATTAAATACAACAAATATATATGTTTGTCACAGAACGCCAAGAAAAAAAGGCCAAACCCCTTAACATCCAAAATGAAACTCACTCTTTGAGATCCAACTCCTCCTTTTCTTCTTTGATTAAGTCCTGTGGAATAAAACAAACTGTAAAAGAACAGTGAGAAGAAGAGAGAAGCTGTAAACAGTTATGATGAACATAGGACTGAAGAGTTAGCCTGGTCCAGATCTGTTTGTGTGGTCTTGCCAAATCCTATGGTCATTGTCACGCCAAATGAGTTGGCAAGACCGCACAAACAGATCTGGGACCAGGCTAGAGAAAAGTAGGTAATGGTGAACAAATGTGCCACCTCTGTCCACAGCTTGAGAAGCTCAGGTGGTAGTGAACTATCCTCCTCCATGTTGACTGGCTCCATACTAATGGGCCCCTCTGGCTTCCTGGCCCGTTCAATCTTTAGTAAATACACATCAACATAAACAAACAAACCATTATCATGAGAAATAAAGTAGCGTTTCAAGATTAAACTGGAACAAATGCGAAAAGTAGGCTTTTATTTGTGTAGTGTAGAAGTACAATTTCTTAACATAAGAGCATTTCCTATTGGTCAGTTACTCACGTCGCATTTTGCTATTGGACAGTCACTTACGGGTCGCATTTTTCGATTGGTCAGTCACTCACACGTTCAGCTTCATAATAAATCCTGCGTGGTTCCGGGGGCAGGGTGAGTGACTCTGCTTCTTTCTTCTGGATTCTCAAGGACTTGGTGCGAGGAGGCAGTATTTCTGTCCAGGCTACCTTACTGTAGTGAGCCAAGACGTTAGTTACATTGTGTTAGAAACAGAAACTAGTCACACTGACATTCTCTATCCAAGCTGGCCCATAATAAATACATTCTGTTTGCCATTAGTTACAGAAGCTCATATGGGCCTTATGTCCTAAAGGGATTAAGTATGTATAACGGAAGCTCATTCACTTTGTACTGAGACCAAATTTGACTGACCAGTGCAAGTACATACACACACAGTACACAGGAAAAATTTAAGTAAGTTGTACAAAATATATATTTTCAGTCATTTGTACAAATATTTATTCTGTCATTACTTTAGTTTCTGTCTCTTGAGACCTCTCTGTGGTGTTTCTGGTTTCAAATCCTTCTTGGCCTATTGAGGAAACAATAAGTTATTCATTTCACCACAAGGAGTTTCAGGGAAATGTGCATAGGTACATACCATTGAAACTTTGTTCTTTAACAAACTAACCTCAAGTAGTTTTATGGAGGACAGGAACTCTTGGTTTTGTCTGATATTTTCCAACCGTTCCAATTCATATGTCGATAGACCTCCAGGTTGTATCTGCAATGTGAAAACAAAGAGTAAAGTGAGGTCACCAACAGAGTTGTATTCATTAGTGCAGTGGTTTTCAAACCTCTCCTCTTGGACCCACAGACGTTTCACAGTTTTGTTGTAGCCCTGAACTAGCTCACCTGATCGCCTAAACAAGGGTAGTGTTCCTCTGCTCAGATGTTGATGACGCATGCCACAATGCCTGGATCGGTATTTTACATATCAGCTAACCACATAATGTTGTTATAGCTATCTGGTGCCCGACGGCAGTCGATGACGTGGCACGCAACAATTGGTTGATGCATGCAACGTCTGAGCAGGGGAACACGACCATTGGCATGATCATTTGTTGACAAGTTGAACCGGGTGTGCTAGCTCAGGAATAGTTCAAATACATGAAATGGCTGGGGGTCCCCGAGGAGAGGTTAGAAAACCTCTGCATTAGTCCACATGTAACATGCAGGATATGAACCTGGGTCTACCGCGGGAGAAACCAACATCTTGACCATTAGACCAAGAGGAAATTCCCTATTGGCCCTAGGGCCGACTGATTTTGAAGTCGCAGGCATGGGCTACCCATCACGTGACCATGAGCAACCATGACCGACTCATGTCCCCTACACACAAGCCGTAGCAAAGGTTTCTCAACCCAAAAGAAAAACAAGCATTTTTTAATGGACAAGTTGAGGTAGTCTCTCCCGGTTTCAATATGACAATACAATTGGTTTTCTTCCGTTTGGTGCCTAATGAAACATGACCCTGGCATGTCTCTATAATATTGTAATCTAGACCATATGAGTACAATGCTAGGTCATTTGGCCTAAATACTGTTCTGTAATGAACACTTACATCCTTGTCTTCATCTTTGACTTTCTTCTTCTCTTTTACTTTTTCAATTCTTCCTTCCACTTTCAAAGGAAGTGCTTTTCTCTGAGACAAATTGCATTTAATTGTAAAATTACTAGCATAGCCCTGTTATAGCCCATTATACACAGATTTGCATTGAACTTGCACTTTGGAATTGCATCATGGAACAGTGGTCATCATATGGGTGGACACACGTACCTTTCTTTTTGTTCCTTGATTGTCTTTGAAGCTGGGCTTAGGTACCATTACCTCATCTGGGGCGAATGTCTTGGGTTTGCACCCCTGTTTTGCTGAACGGCGTACAGGGACACCATTCTCAGTGTCCGCTGGCTTCATTTCCTGCAATTAATGTTGGGATGCTTTTCAATTTGGTAATGACTTAAACAGGTCTATAATTTATCATAAACTTAGCACAGTGGTATCTTCAGCTAGACAGCTAGCTAGCTCCTACAATGCTGGCGGTCCGGGAAAGAATGCTAGCTAGGTGTGCAAGGAAACTTCAGGTGCACATGGGCGGGGAATTTAGAATACTACAGTAATGTGATTGGATAAAAAGTAATCTCAGAACCTGGAACCAAATCTTGCATGAGCGCTAGCAGAGATGAAGATGATGAAGATGGGTCATCACTAGCTTCTATAGCAGGGGTATTCAAATACAATTTCAGAAGGTCCAGTCACACAAATGTCCTAAGTGGGAAAGGTCCGGATAGAATAGATATTGTCATTTATCGGTGCTCTAGTACAGCATAGTAACAAACTTACCATTGTCCATATTATGATTTGGGATACATGGTTTTATATCAAATGTTTTCAGGACTACTATTAAATGAGACCAATCAGACACATTTTAATGAATTACAAACAACTTTATTTTGACTGTGAAAATGTGCATTTTACAGGCTGAGCTATAGTAGTAAGTAGGCTATTACTATTTGTCATGCTGCTTCAAATAAATTTAAGAAATGAGTACAACAAAAAGTATTTAAAAAATGAATGGTTTCTCTTTTTACAAAAATATAATAAAGTGCACATTTGTGACAACATTGCTAAAGAACAAAAGTGGTTGCATAGTAATCTGTATGCAAAAAAGTCACTGAGCCAATGTACATGGGCCATGCATTTCTCTTAATTGAATAAATAATAACACATTTTATGGAGAACAAAGGAGAGTACAATAGAAAATAAAATATGAGTGCACAGTCTGTGTTCCATGCATGCACAAGTCACTCTAGGCCTTGCATCAATGACTGCTACTCCTACTGCTCTCAACTCGTCTGACCATGTGTTCTCGCATACCCCGAGAGCATCTGGTCAGCGGGGTGGTGGCACAGGAATCCTCATCTCTCCCAAGTGGACATTCTCTCTTTTCCCCCTGACCCATCTGTCTATCTCCTCATTTGAATTCCATGCTGTCACAGTCACTAGCCCATTCAAGCTTAACATCCTTGTCATTTATCGCCCTCCAGGTTCCCTTGGAGAGTTCATCAATGAGCTTGACGCCTTGATAAATTCCTTTCCTGAGGATGGCTCACCCCTCACAGTTCTGGGTGACTTTAACCTCATTAAGTTGACCTTTGACTAATTTCTCTCTGCCTCCTTCTTTCCACTCCTCTCCTCTTTTGACCTCACCCTCTCACCGTCCCCCCCTACTCACAAGGCAGGCAATACGCTTGACCTCATCTTTACTAGATGCTGCTCTTCTACTAATCTCACTGCAACTCCCCTCCAAGTCTCCGACCACTACTTTGTATCCTTTTCTCTCTCGCTCTCCTCCAACACTACTCACTCTGCCCCTACTCAGATGGTAATGCGCCGTCGCAACCTTCGCTCTCTCTCTCCCGCTACTCTCTCCTCTTCCATCCTATCATCTCTTCCCTCTGCTCAATCCTTCTCCCTCCAATCTCCTGATTCTGCCTCCTCAACCCTCCTCTCCTCCCTTTCTGCATCCTTTGACTCTCTATGTCCCCTATCCTTCCGGCCGGCTTGGTCCTCCCCTCCTGCTCTGTGGCTTGACGACTCATTGCGAGCTCACAGAACAGGGCTCCGGGCAGCCGAGCGGAAATGGAGGAAAACTAGACTCCCTGCGGACCTGGCATCTTTTCACTCCCTCCTCTCTACATTTTCTTCCTCTGTTTCTGCTGCTAACGCCACTTTCTACCACTCTAAATTCCAAGCATCTGCCTCTAACCCTAGGAAGCTCTTTGCCACCTTCTGCTCCCTGCTGAAAACTCCTCCCCCTCCCCCCCCCCGCCCCTCCTCCCTCTCTGTGGATGACTTCGTCAACCATTTTGAAAAGGTTGACGACATCCGATCCTCGTTTTTTAAGTCAAATGACACTGCTGGTCCTGCTCACACTGCCCTACCCTATGCTTTGACTTCTTTCTCCCCTCTCTCTCCAGATGAAATCTTGCGACTTGTGACGGCCGGCCGCCCAACAACCTGCCCGCTTGACCCTATCCCCTCCTCTCTTCTCCAGACCATTTCCGGAGACCTTCTCCCTTACCTTACCTTACACGGTTGACAACTCTGTTGTGTCCTCCTCCCAGAGTGCAAAGAGCCTTGGCGTGACCCTGGACAACACCCTGTCGTTCTCCGCTAACATCAAGGCGGTGACCCGATCCTGTAGGTTCATGCTCTACAACATTCGCAGAGTACGACCCTGCCTTACACAGGAAGCGGCACAGGTCCTAATCCAGGCACTTGTCATTTCCCGTCTGGATTACTGCAACTCGCTGTTTGCTGGGCTCCCTGCCTGTGCCATTAAACCCCTATAACTCATCCAGAATGCCGCAGCCCGTCTGGTGTTCAACCTTCCCAAGTTCTCTCACGTCACCCCGCTCCTCCGCACACTCCACTGGCTTCCAGTTGAAGCTCACATCTGCTACAAGACCATGGTACTTGCCTACGGAGCTGTGAGGGGAACAGCACCTCCGTACCTTCAGGCTCTGATCCATCCCTACACCCAAACGAGGGCATTGCGTTCATCCACCTCTGGCCTGCTGGCCCCCCTACCTCTGGAAGCACAGTTCCCGCTCAGCCCAGTCAAAACTGTTCGCTGCTCTGGCACAATGGTGGAACACGCTCCCTCACAACGCCAGGATAGCAGAGTCACTCACCACCTTCCGGAGACACTTGAAACCCCACCTCTTTAAGGAATACCTGGGATAGGATAAAGTAATCCTTCTACCCCCCTTACCCCACCCCCCCAAAAAAATAAAATAATAATAATATTGTAAAGTGGTTATCCCACTGGCTGTAAGGTGAATGCACCAATTTGTAAGTTGCTCTGGATAAGAGCGTCTGCTAAATGACGTAAATGTAAAATGTAAATGTTGAATCTGACTTTGACTGGAATCTAACTTTGTGGCTATAGAAGCAAGTGGAAACCGCGAATAGACGGTCGTCACTAGTTACCGCAGCCACAAAGTCATAAAGGTCAATTCACCATCATACCAGGTCATGTAATTCTTAAAAAACATAACATTTATGAATAAGATATTTGGCTACAGAATTGCTATTTCTTACCGATCTCTACAGTTCCCGTCCAAAAACGAATTATGTGAAATGACGTCAACACATACTGGATGAGTTACTGGCTAACTGCACTGGCTAGCTTAGCTAACGAACTAGCTACGGTCGCTGCGCGCATGACCAGAATGACATGATGATGAACCACCAAAGGCAAACCCCACCAGGCCATGCAAAACGAACTAACCCACTGTTTGTACAATTAAATTATGATTGGTTTGTTACTGGCTAGCTACAGTATATATTACCCCATTCATAGACGCTAATTGCTTTAGCGCCTATTGACGATATTATCTTCGAATGTAACCGCTGAAAACCCTAAATACTGAGAAGGATTTTCAAGAGCTCTTGAAAACCCTTCTCTGTATGTAGGGGTTTCAGCCAATACATTCGCCCACTGTTGTCCACCTATGTCTTCCATAAACAAGCTATGTAACATGGAGATATGGCGGTGTGGGAATACTAACCCCATGAAGGTGTGTAGTAATTTAACTTTTTTATTATTTTCTCGCTGATATGAAAGATAGGTTCCTTGTGTTTCCAAAAACGTACCACAAGCGATGAGTGTTAATGTTTAGAGCAAGCGTTGGGGCTCATAACAAAACCACCTGTCCGAAGATACTACTATCGTCAATAGGCGCTAAAGCAGTTACCTCTGAATGGGGTAGCTAGCTATATCAGTAGCTAGGTAGGTTAACATTGACACAGGTATTCGACAAAAGCAATGTCGCAACAAAAAAAAGTGTAATGGAAACGGAAGATGGGAGACATTTTCTAAAGATAAACATTTTCATCCTGTCGACAGGGGTGGATTTTTCTTCTGTCTAACTTTCTTAATTGCGACAAATCTGATGGAACCGGTGTTTTTCGAATAGATTAGATTACGGAATCATTTTGAAGGTACGCGGTGCACGTGATCCATGTCACCGCGTAACTATTATAGCTCCACTCCACAATTAATTCTAAATGCCTACGTCTTGCAAAATAATTTTTTAAAACTTTACTAATATATATTTTTTTCTTTGTAGGACGAGGATTGTCCTGACTTTCAAGAATGCCTGAATTGATTTGCCTTGCTTTTCTTGGTTGGCTGGCAAGTTTCACAATCAAATTATTTCAGATCTACAGGAGTGCAAGTTTCACCATGGCATGGACGATTTATTAGAATATGGCAAATATTAGTCAATTATTGCATTATATCCATGCTGGTTTTCGCGGGCTACCTGGGACATCGCCAATTTATTAATACGCAATTTGCCTAAATGGGTAACGGAAACGCTTCAACATTATAGGTGTGAAGTCATTGCGTCCAGCTGTTTTAATCGACAAGATAGTTAAATGGAAACTCACCCTAGCAGGCAATTGTCGCATCTATTTTCTACACGAACTCTAAATGTTAACAAAAATCACTGGACAAGTTAATGGAAACAACTTGTGACTTACTAGCAATATTTCAAGGGTGGTTGTGTATGGATAGCTGTATAAGCGATGGTCCTTAATCTTACCTGCAACTTGTAGTGCAATTTCACAAACGCGTTCGGATGTTTTGGTTCTTACGAATCAATCAGGCAAACGGAGTCGCAAATACTTAGCTTGCGAGCTAGGTCCGAACAGCTGTGTTTCTTTTCTCGAGTCTTCTTGGTTGATGCATCTCCCGCCACGATGGTGTTTTGTAACAAGCCCCTCCCCCTGTGTTGTGCAAGATAATTCACAGCAGCTGATTGGTTACTATGCCAACATTTACATTTACGTCATTTAGCAGACGCTCTTATCCAGAGCGACTTACAAATAGGTGCATTCACCTTATAGCCAGTGGGATAACCACTTTACAATGTTGTTTTTTTTGGGGGGGGGGGGGGGGGGGGGGGGGGGGTAGAAGGATTACTTTATCCTATCCCATGCTTTTCCTATAACAGCAGACGCTTCACTTGGGACACTTTATTTATAAAATATGAACCAGGGATCAATATCATTTAGCTTTTCATGTGCCAATGGCTTTGGAGATCTCTTAAGAACATACTTTTTTTTTTTCTTTTTTTTTTTTTACAAAACTACAGGCAAATAATGTACAAAAAAAGTAACCCTCAGCAGCATCAGTTCAAAATACACAAAATATGCCTAGTCAAGGCAATGTCAAATCAAGAGAGGCTAAAATATTGTTGATGCTTTTGTGACAGTAGACTACTACAGTACTAAAGGGGATCTCTTACACAGTCATACAACTGGAGCAATATGTTGCTACATAAGCACATGATTCAAAGACTCTCACTACCCAGTCATTGCCTACTAACTAACCATGACCACCCACAACCATTAGCCATACCATATACAGTACAATCCTTCAGAAAACGATCAATTTATAATTAAGTAAACATAAGTCACTTGGCAAATGTAAAACTCACATTGTAACAGTATAACTACAGTTCTTAAAAACATGTCCATGCAAATAACACAGAGATGCCCACTCCTGTCCTCCCACTGAGAAAAATTATCCAGTTTATCCTGACTTCTCATACTGTAGCTGAAGACTGACTGCAGCGTTCTCTTCTTCTCTTCTGAGTTCCCGTTACATCACACCAGCGGGAGAGGATAAGAGGAGCAGGCTGCCAGTCCACACATGTTCCTCCCTCGTTCTATTAGGAAATATCTGAGGAGGAAATACAAAACAAAACAGATTTTGTAAGCTATACCGAACAAATATATAAATGCAACATGCAACAATTTAAAATATTTTACTGAGTTATAGTTCGTATAAGGAAATCAGTCAATTGAAATAAATTCATTAGGCCCTAATCTATGGATTTCACATGACTGGGAATACAGATATGCATCTGTTGGTCACAGATACCTTTTTTTTTTAAAGTAGGGGTGTGGATCAGAAAACCAGTCAGTATCTGGTGTGACCACCATTTGCCTCACGCAGCGCGGCACATCTCCTTCGCATAGAGTTGATCAGGCTGTTGACTGTGGCCTGTGGAATGTTGTCCCACTCCTCTACATTGGCTGTGAAAAGTTGCTGGATATTGGTGGGAACTGGAACACGCTGTCGTACATGTCGATCCAGAGCAACCCAAACATGCTCAATGGGTGACATGTCTGGTGAGTATGCATGCCATGGAAAAACTGGGACATTTTCCAGGAATTGTGTACAGATCCTTGCGACATGGGGCCATGCATTATCATGCTGAAACATGAGTTGATGGCGGCGGATGAATGGGCCTCAGGATCTCGTCATGGTATCTCTGTGCATTCAAATTGCCATCGATAAAATGCAATTGTGTTCATTGTCCATAGCTTATGCCTGCTCATACCATAACCCCACCGCCACCATGGGGCATTCTGTTCACAATGTTGACATCAGCAAACCGCTCACCCACACAACACCATACACGTGGTCTGCAGTTGGGAGGCCGGTTAGACGTACTGCCAAATTCTCTGGCAACAGCTCCGGTGGACATTCCTGCTGTCAGCATGCCAATTGCACGCTCCCTCAAAACCATTAAGACTCTAAAAGTAAAAGGAGATAGGCAGCTCTCTTGCAGTATACGTGTCCTACAATGTCTGGGTGTTCAATAGCTGATCTGTGTTCATGAAGCATCTATATAGTTATCATGAGTAAAAAAAAAGTAAGTTTGACAGCACTCAATATTTTTTATGTATTTACCCATCCATTCCCCAGTTGGTGCCCCAGGAGTTTTTCACGATCCAATATGGAGTGCTATTCTCTTCACCATATCCCACTGCCAGTACAGCATGGTTCACATTGTCTGTAGTGTTCTTACACGTAGTGCTAGTACAAACAAAGAATGCATTATAAATGAAAACACAGGGAGGACATAAGTTAATTAATTGTAATAGATGGTCAAATTTGCAGTTTGTATACATTATGTGAACGGCAAGGAGCTTTACAGCTCATGAAAGTCTTCTACGGCAACATTGTATGGCTCATAAGTACAGTCTTCTACCTTCCACACATTATTTGATAAGATTTAGAGGTCCACAATTCAATTCCCACAAAGCTCCTTAATCCTGCCACCCAACATTTATCGTCAAGTGGGAGTGATAAGGAACACGAGTGTACTGGGCTTACTCTCACCTGCTGTACACACCATCTTTGTAGTGGATGAAGTCATTGGTCACTTCATAGCCAAAGCTGACTGGGTTCAGTCTGGCCACAGCATCAACCATGCCCTTTTCATCATACTGTTATAGGGGGGAAGACAGAACAACATACCAATTGCCGAACAAGAAAACAATGTGTAGGTCAGATGCAGAGGTTGTAAAACATTTCGTTTTAGTCTCTCACACTTGTTATGTTGACAACATCTTTCACGAAGGCAGCTGCCAACTCGGGCTTGAAATTGCAAGAGCCATCCTAAAAAAAGGAATTGGGATAAAAAAAGTATATAGTGAGTAATCCAAACAAGTGAGTAATAAGGATGAAATACTATTATAAACTGGGTGGTTCAAGCCCTGAATGCTGATTGGCTGACAGCTGTGGTATATCAGACCGTATACCACGGGCATGACAAAACATTAATTTTTAATGCTCTAATTACATTGGTAACTAGTTTATAATAGCAATAAGGCACCTCTGGGGTTTGTTGTATATGGCCAATATACCACGGCTAAGGGCTGTATCCAGGCACTCCGCGTTGCGTCGTGCGAAAGGAAAGCCCTTAGCCATATACCACACCCCCTTGTGCATTATTGCTTAAGTATAACACTGTTACTTGTGTTATTACCGTTTTCCTTTTTTACACTAAGAACAAATTATAAATACATACATGTCCCGTGTAAGGATAGTCATCTTCGGTCATGAGTCCATTGTTGTATTTAACATACTCAAACGCCTGGCTTGGGAGTCCCCTGAAACCAATCAATTACAGTATCTGAATGATGTTTTTGTAGACAGATAGCTACAGTATGTATCAGGAGGCATAGAAGTCACATGCAGGACAGGAGTGATAAGCTCATGTGATTTTAAGATGGTAGGCTACCAACCCCATACATCCGTGATTGTTGAAGTCTTGAGCACAGTCCACCAGTTGCTGCTCAGACTGGAAAACATAGAATGATAAATCACAGAAATAAGGCTATTACCAACAACCATTCAACAACCAATTCAACTACTGTAACCCATTTATTTCTATTGTACCACTTCAGACGAAACCATACAGGGGAACATAGTAGGTTGACTGCCAAAAACAGGGTGAAACATAGTGTGGCACAGTAGAAAATACAAGCGAAATAGGGCTGGTTCTCACCAGAAGTGGGAGTTTTCCAGTAGCTATAGCTGTCACAGACTCCAGACAGCCGGTAGTGGAGAAGGTCCAGCAGCTTCCACAGTGACCCTTAGGACACAACAATAGCACACTCAGCCAACATGATATCAACACAGCACAGTCATAAATGTATAGCTGCTTTTATCTTTTTCACTCGCCCCCAAACAGCCAGTCCATCAGAAATGGACTTGGTCATGTGGTTGTGAATATACACAGAGTAGAAAACATTAGGAACACCTGCTCTTTCCATGACATAGACTGACCAGGTGAATCCAGGTGAAAGCTATGATCCCTTATTGATGTCACTTGTTAAATCCACTTCAATCAGTGTGCGCAACTCAACATTAGGAAGGTGTTCTATATTTAGCCTGTAAGGGAAACGTAGTACCTGGTATTTGACAGGTGACACATAGTTTCCCTTCTCTCTCCAGTCCACAGAATCAGGATATGGCCCATGGCTGCTGATGTGACTCCCTTTGGTGGCAGAGCAGTTCTGATGAAGATAAATGTAAGAACAGTTACTATTGATTAGGCTATCTTTTATCAGAGAAGCTCGTAGACTTAAATTGGGGTTAACTACAGGATCACATTTGAGTAATTACATTTCACAGCTGTACCTGAGGTTCAGTCAGGAGGAAAGTCTTCCTAAACTCTGCAAAGCTCATGTCAGAAAACTGATTCAGTCCCACTGGGAAAAGGAAAGTTAAAAGAGTTGTAAGATATCATACATGTACGTATATAAAGCTACATTATGAATACATTGGAAGTTATGTTGTGACTGGGAAAACAGGAAGAAATTGACAAATAGTTTAAAATAAATAAAATGCATAGCCTACTTGAGAATGTGTGCTTCCCCGCATTATGATGGTCGATTCTCCTCTTATGCCTAGTGAAAATGTCTAGGCGATGGTAATACTCCTCCAGATCATAGACTTTATTATACTGTAATAACAAAAACAGGTATAGGCTACAGTCAGTCTACAAAGGATGACAAACTCATACTGACAAGCAAATACATTTGAGGAAGGTCTTGGCCTACTGCTTTAATTTCTTACAATTAGGAAAAAGATGACTGTGTGTACAGTAACTCTGGTATGTAGCCTACTGTATGTCATCTGCTTTCCTAAAAAATAACACATATCATGGATTTACATTCCAGCCTTTACAGTTTCACATACCTGTAACATCCATTGTTTGAAGTGATATTCCTCTTTAAAAAAACAAATAAAAAATAATCAAAACAAGACCTATGATTTTGATGGTCACATTGTTACAAGTTTGAAACGGTCATCTGTTTTGTGCAATGACAACATTGTAGGCTATAGCATGTGTCACCGTCGTTTCACTGTTGCATGTCTTATGCAATGTAATAAGCTATAACAGTATATTCATTTCGGTAGCCTAATTATCTTATTTCTTATTTCATTAGGCTTATTAAATAGTCTGGTTAACTGCCCAGATCAAGATCAGAAACATCATTTATGTAGTTAACGGTCGACACAAAAGCCGCTTTCATCAGCAGTGCACTGCATGGCTTGTTGCACTTGACTTTTACTTTGTTTCTTCCGCCACACGTCGATTTGTGAGTGTGAAAGAGTAGCGGGATATCAACAACAAACAGAATAGGCGAGTTATGCTTACCTTCAGGTAAAAATAAGGGTGTTAAATTGGCTAAATGTAAAAAAGCAAGAATAACCGCAGCAGTATACAGCGCCATTCCCTCGCGTGTGCTTTCGCAACAAATGCATCACATGACTTGAGTAACCTATCCATGACATTCATGTGTCCTCGTGGCTGGGTCTGTTATCAAACTTTTTGTAAGCGCCAAAACATGCCTAATTGCCCACCCCACATCAAAATAATTAACATCATAGTCAATAAAATGTACTTACTGAGAAGATAAAAATACAATTGTAAGTATTACAGAATTATTAAAGGCCCAGTGCATTCAAAATTCAGTTTTTCCTGTGTTTTTTATCATATTGTTTAACAGCTGATGACACTAACACTGTAAAAGTGTGAGAAAAAAAACTTCCTGATAGTTTCTGGTGGAAAATACAATCTACACATGACCTTCTAATCAGCAGATTTTGCATGGGTGGAGTTTCGGGACCAGGCAGTAAATTAGTTGATAGACTAATAACAAAGAGTTCCAAACCTCTCTGCCAATAAAGGCTAGTTTTCAGTTCCCACCACCCCACTCATACCACACCCAGACAGTCCTTGCAAAATTCTTGCTTGAGTTTTTTTTGTTGTTGCTAAAAAGCTATTTTAGTTTATTTTTGAACATTTAATGGACAACTATTACAGTCAGGTACTTAATTGTTACCCAATGACTTAATATGTATATAAAAACGGCTGCATTGGGCCTTTAAAATTATATATAACTTTACACACCTTTATACACTGCCACACATGAATAATTCCCAGGTTGTTAAAATAAGGATTATTGTCATACCACTGTATTGTTTGTGTGTGTGTGTGAGTGTCTCGTGTCTCTGTCAGTCTGTCTGTCTGTCTGTCTTTCATTTCTGTGTCAATGATTAATCGTTTTTAAAATCGGAAGATCTTGCTTGCAGATTTTTATTTTATTTTAAGAAAATGTCATATTCAGCTCATTTGGTTAAGGCCTTTTCAACTTGGCCACAAGAGGACGGTGTACTCCTTATAAACCAGAGCCTGTTATGCGAGACCAGTGCTCTAGATGGCAGTATAATATCACTGCAAAACGGATATGATGGAACTGGAAAGAGCAACGATGTCTTCTGCAACAGAGCCACTCCCAATGACGTATACATACTAACATTGCTCTTCTCTCTCCAACTCAGCTGTGGAGTGGGAGGTAATTGTGTTAATGCAGAACTATCAGCTCCTCTTCAAATAAGCTGAGCTACAGGTATTTATCACTATGCTGATGTACCATGCTAGTACAGTGAGCTGTCTTCATCCCTATAGCCTACCTATGGACAGTGCTAGTACAATGGAGGATCCCTATACATTTTACATTTTAGTCATTTAGCAGACGCTCTTATCCAGAGCAACTTACTTGAGCAATTAGGGTTAAGTGCCTTGCTTAAGGGCACATCGACAGATTTTTCACCTAGTCGACTCGGAGATTAGAATTAGGGTTAGGAGATAGGTTTAGGGTTAAGGTTAGGTTTTTGGGTTAAGTTTAGGAGTTAGGGAAAATAGGATTTTGAATGGGACTGAATTGTGTGTCCCCACAAGGTCAGTTATACAAGACTGTGTCTGTGTAAGACAGTTTAGGGTTTATATTAATGAAGGAGAGATGGGACCTGGGAGGAAATAATCAGCCAGCTCTCTCTCTCTCTCTCTCTCTCTCTCTCTCTCTCTCTCTCTCTCTCTCTCTCTCTCTCTCTCTCTCTCTCTCTCTCTCTCTCTCTCTCTCTCTCTCTCTCTCTCTCTCTCTCTCTCTCTCTCTCTCATTGGTTGAGAGAGAGAAAGAGAGGGAGGAAGGTAATCTCCAGCAAAGTGAATGGAGGATGTCCTTGCTATGCTGCTCCTTGCATCAGTCTGGCTAAAGGACAGTCAGTCGTACTAATGACCAACTCATACTGAAACAGGGAGTCTATGGACTGTCCCAAATTACACCCTATTCCTATGGAGTGCACTATTTTAGCCCCACATTGGCCTGTGTTCTCAATTCCTGGGACTGCAGAGCCCCAGACCCCCCCCCCCCCCCCCCCCCCCTTTTGCCTCAGAAAAGCCTAAATTCGTCGGGGCATGGAGGTGTCGAAAGCGTTCCACAGACATGCTGGCCCATGTTGACTCCAATGCTTCCCACAATTGTATTAATTTGTCTGGATGTTCTTTGGGTGGTGGACCATTCTTGATACACTTGGGAAACTGTTGAGCATTAAAAACACAGCAGCGTTGCAGTTCTTGACACAAACTGGTGTGCCTGCAGCCCGGCACCTACTACCATACCCCGTTCAAAGGCACTTACATTTTTTGTCTTGCCTATTCACCCTCTGAATGGCACAAATACACAATCCATGTCTCAATTGTCTCAAGGCTAAAAAATCCTCCTTTAACCTGTCGCCTTTTACATAGAATTAGGCATAACGATTATGACTCTAGATTGCAGGAAAAAGCTGTTTCAGGTGTTTGAAAAATGTCCCCCCTCCATCCTCACTTACTTCATGCCCCCTCTAAAATAATGGGTGAATGACGCCACTGTGTGCAGTGTACGTGTATGTGACGTGTGTCGATGTGCATCTGCGTGTGCACGTTGACGCCTGTGTGACAGATGTAGGAGATTTATTTACACATCACTGAATGGTACAGATTGACTCTCTGAAGGCAGCCTGACACACTTTCCAGCTATCACTCGTAGTGTGTGTCTTTGTGTGTGTGTGTGTGTGTGTGTGTGTGTGTGTGTGTGACAGATAGTATGTGATGAGCGCCCATCATCACATGTTATTTAGCAACTGCCTCTGATGGCATCAGAAGACGGAGAGAGCGGGAGAGAGACGCAGAGAGAGATGAGGGAGGGGAAGGAGAGACATTAAGAGAGCGTGAGACAGATGGAGAGAGAGGGGTTGAGCGAGAGGGAATGGGCTGAGAGAAAGAGGGATTGAAATAGAGAGTAAGTGAACAAGCCATTGAGTGAGAGAGGTGAGTTGGGGTTAAGGGGTTAAGGTTAGAGGGTTTGTGGTCTGTCCTGTTTTTAGTGTGCTCTACTTTGGGTGCTATGTACAGTGGGGGAAAAAAGTATTTAGTCAGCCACCAATTGTGCAAGTTCTCCCACTTAAAAAGATGAGAGAGGCCTGTAATTTTCATCATAGGTACACGTCAACTATGACAGACAAAATGAGGAAAAAAAATCCAGAAAATCACATTGTAGGATTTTTAATGAATTTATTTGCAAATTATGGTGGAAAATAAGTATTTGGTCAATAACAAAAGTTTCTCAATACTTTGTTATATACCCTTTCTTGGCAATGACACAGGTCAAACGTTTTCTGTAAGTCTTCACAAGGTTTTCACACACTGTTGCTGGTATTTTGGCCCATTCCTCCATGCAGATCTCCTCTAGAGCAGTGATGTTTTGGGGCTGTCGCTGGGCAACACGGACTTTCAACTCCCTCCAAAGATTTTCTATGGGGTTGAGATCTGGAGACTGGCTAGGCCACTCCAGGACCTTGAAATGCTTCTTACGAAGTCACTCCTTCGTTGCCCGGGCGGTGTGTTTGGGATCATTGTCATGCTGAAAGACCCAGCCACGTTTCATCTTCAATGCCCTTGCTGATGGAAGGAGGTTTTCACTCAAAATCTCACGATACATGGCCCCATTCATTATTTCCTTTACACGGATCAGTCGTCCTGGTCCCTTTGCAGAAAAACACCCCCAAAGCATGATGTTTCCACCCCCATGCTTCACAGTAGGTATGGTGTTCTTTGGATGCAACTCAGCATTCTTTGTCCTCCAAACACGACGAGTTGAGTTTTTACCAAAAAGTTATATTTTGGTTTCATCTGACCATATGACATTCTCCCAATCCTCTTCTGGATCATCCAAATGCACTCTAGCAAACTTCAGACGGGCCTGGACATGTACTGGCTTAAGCAGGGGGACACGTCTGGCACTGCAGGATTTGAGTCCCTGGCGGCGTAGTGTGTTACTGATGGTAGGCTTTGTTACTTTGGTCCCAGCTCTCTGCAGGTCATTCACTAGGTCCCCCCATGTGGTTCTGGGATTTTTGCTCTCCGTTCTTGTGATCATTTTGACCCCACGGGGTGAGATCTTGCGTGGAGCCCCAGATCGAGGGAGATTATCAGTGGTCTTGTATGTCTTCCATTTCCTAATAATTGCTCCCACAGTTGATTTCTTCAAACCAAGCTGCTTACCTATTGCAGATTCAGTCTTCCCAGCCTGGTGCAGGTCTACAATTTTGTTTCTGGTGTCCTTTGACAGCTCTTTGGTCTTGGCCATAGTGGAGTTTGGAGTGTGACTGTTTGAGGTTGTGGACAGGTGTCTTTTATACTGACAACAAGTTCAAACAGGTGCCATTAATACAGGTAACGAGTGGAGGACAGACGAGCCTCTTAAAGAAGAAGTTACAGGTCTGTGAGAGCCAGAAAGCTTGCTTGTTTGTAGGTGACCAAACACTTATTTTCCACCATAATTTGCAAATAAATTCATAAAAAATCCTACAATGTGATTTTCTGGATTTTTTTTCTCAGTTTGTCTGTCATAGTTGACGTGTACCTATGAAGAAAATTACAGGCCTCTCTCATCTTTTTAAGTGGGAGAACTTGCACAATTGGTGGCTGACTAAATACTTTTTTTCCCCACTGTAGTTATTTAGACATAGCTACAGGCAAGTTGTTCACTGGTCCTCTGTACAAGACAGGGCCATTTAAAATAGGTAGGGTAACAAGCCTCATCAGTACAGGGAAATGGGTCTTCATCTCCACCAGGGCACCAGCAGTAAATCAGATATCTGTGTGTGTGTTTAAATCTTCCTGCAGTTTTCTCAGCAGATGGACCGTAATATGCTCATCGTTAATCTCGATCTCCAAGCAATTCATATGCTTTGACTTGCAAAACTATACTGTGGTGAAAGACAGTGACGCTCAAAGGATGGCTTTGGGTGTGATGTGGTATGATATACTGGATATTATTTTTGTTGTTTATGTTTTACTATTATGTGCAGTACCTCCACATCTTACCTCCACCGCAGCCCCTTTCTTTTCTAGTTCACCCCAGTCTCACC